ACATTTTTATACGGAATATGTTAAAAAAGTTGCATGTACGCCAGATTTCGTTTAATGGCCGAGATAAATCTTCATTCGATAATCAATTAAAAAATTAAACTTTCGTCTCTTCATATTTAATTAAGTCTTCTTACTCATTTACTTCAATACATATAATAAGGATTGAAATAAATTGAATTTCAAAATCGCTCATAGTCTACTAGCAATTGTCACGACTCGCTTCTCTCTAATAATGTTGTTTCCGATTTGCGTAACTCTCCATTTTCTTGAAATAAGGTGCCACACAACCTGATACATTCTCAGAACTTCTCGGTCGTAAACCCCGAAGGACGTAAGGTGTTTGCAGAGGAGAACATGAAGGTGAAATATTCATCTCCAGAAAATTTAAATTGTGGCAACCTTTTTCTTCTTTCAACTTTACACGCAATATTTTATATAATTTTATTCCTTTTTTCCCTTCCTTTCGTATAAATTGTATCCAAAGGATTTTTATTGATTTCCCCATCTTCTAAAGCATGACATACAAATGTAATGATATCAAATATAAGTCCTGAAATAATTATATTATCTTAATTGATCTCTTTTATGTCTCTCTTTTTGTGTTGTTGAAATGTTGTACACATAATGAAATATGCAGAGTACAACTAGAAAAAAATATTTTATGATAGTAAATTTTAAGTTTAAGAAATCAGACACATTTCTTTAAAATAAAAATATATTTAAAAATAAAAAAATATTCTCATTAAATTAAATCTTTTATAATCAACTATCTTTTACCTTTCTGGTTATTATCTTATCTGACATCACCACCTCATATTTAAAAATACATTAAAGAATATATTAAAGTAAATTCCATCACGTAAGCGAATATCCGATATAAAGTGTACATTTATTTTAATGTTGTTTTCTTGCATAATTTTCGCCAATTTCATACCTTATGCCCGCTGTTTCTTCACTTACCACTCACTCATTAGCAACGTTTACAATCGTGAGATCTATAATTAATTATAAGAAAAGCGGCATTTATTACTTTCAAAATATGTATCTCTCACAAATGTAATGATAATATAACAATAACAATATTCCTTTAAAGTACTGCAAAAGTTCTCATTATATTTTTTCTGATATTTTATATTTTTTTAATAATTAAAACTATTATATTTATTTTTTTACATGTTATTACGTATTTGTTTCTATTATTAATTATGTCTATTACATATTAGACAAAAGTTAGACACTTAAAGACATTTGTACGTATTTTTCTAAAACTAAGTACTTCTTTCAATTAATTGCTAATATAGGAGCTGTAAATGAAGAAACAGTGGATTTCGTCACAAAATTTAACTGAAAGTTGAAAGTACTACTACTCTATATTTCATATTTAAAAAGTAGTACTAGTACTACTCTATATTTCATACATATCACTGGAAAATTTTGCATGTATGTATGTTCTAAGATATCCGGTGTCTTTACAATTTCAGTATATTTTCCCTATCGTATAAATGATTTACGTGCAAGGAATTATTTTTTTTCTTAATTGAGAAATATAGAAGAAAGAAAATAAATTCACGCGTCTCTTAAAGAGTGAAGCTGAGATCCCAAACGTCCGGCATCATCGTTACCCATTGCGTTACGTGTTTTTTCCGGTAACGAATAAATATCACGGTGGTCTCACGGGGATGTGCAAAGAACGTTGTGCGGCGATACGTGGTTACGTAAAGAATCGGGACGAGACGAGATGGAATGAAACCAAGGGTGAAAGTATACGATGGTTTCTCTGCGATTTTCTCTCGCGTGCGACATATATCGACGCTGATATTAGGGTAGCATCGTACGAAATCCCGTAATTCACGATACAAGGAAATAAACATGTGGGTGACACGCGCCGCCAAAGAAAAACGATATATAAAAAATTGCTATCAAAGCTCCCTTCGGCAAGCGATTGCGGCTTAATGAATTATTCATATCGAGTAAAGAACATCGACAGGTCGGCCACAACTATTTCATGTGTCATCAGCTCCCTATCATTATCTCTCGTAACATTTAAACAAAATAACATAAATTAAATTTTAAATCTTTTATAATCTTTTATATTTGATTCAATCTCTTATGTCTCTGATTGCTGTCCTATTTGATAGCGCCATTTTATATTAAGAATATATTAAGTCTATAGCACACCTGCGGTATGATTTTTCGTACTAGATCACATACGAGACATGTTACTAGCAGTCATATTGACTATACAACTTGAAATGTTGCGTGATACGTGCTGTTGCGCATGCTAACATGCTAGTTTTTGGTAATAGATTTGCTATTTTTATTATGTGATGTGATACTAGCTGTACGATAAGTTTGACGGGTGATACATTTTTAATCACATTTACAAAAAAAAAAAATAATGATAAAGAATAAAGAAAAAAGATAAAAATGATAAAGAAAAAAAATAAAAATGAAAAAGAATAAAGAAAAAAGATAAAAAGGCAAATATAAAGATATATACATATATAATGTGTTTTATTTAAAATTATAATGATAATAATTGAATATGTATATATTTAAATAAAAAGTGATGGAATTTTTAACCTATTACGAAACGTAATTTCAAAAATTTTATTAATTCTTTTATAATAAATAAACGATCATGAATATATAATGTTTCATTAAATTTTAATGGCTATGTTTCGAAATTCACTACCAGTACTGAAAATCTATAATACATGTCACGTATATTATAGATTTTTAGTACTGGCTGAATTTCGGAATGCAACCATTATGTAAATCGTTTGTATGCTGCAGACTTAAGATAAATCTGCACGTGTGAAGCCAAAACTAGTAGCATTCTTATGATTGGAGAAAGCAGAGCACCTCGCTAAACAGCACGTATCGAATCTATTAACAAAACCAGTAGGAAAAATCGTGTATCGTGTACCGTAGGCTTTAAAGTGAATCCCATTACGTATGTACAGCAAATATTCGAAAGTATAAATTTATTTCATGCATTCTTTGCAATAATTTCGGCTGGATTTTGTGACTTACGCCCAAATATTGCTCTTTGAGAAAACAAAAGAAGAGCTACTGATAATTAACACAAAAATTCTGAAAGAAAAAATTAACTGCTGTATAAAAAGAAAATCATTTCTAAAATAGAATGAATCTAGAAAAGAATCTAGAAAGATAAAATGCCGACGATTTATATCAATGAAAAATGTGAACCAGTTTTTGTATCAGTAACTAGCTATTTGGATTTTCTTTTTGTAGTAATTATTAAAACTATTTCAATATATTGATTGTGTTGTCATCAGTTACAATAATCAGATATTGCGGAGCTTTTTTATCAATTTTGACTGTTTTATTTTCTTAAGAATAAGTTCATTACGGTATTATAGTTGCATTATAATTTCTTATTAGAGTTATTATAATTTTTGAGTTATTATAGTTCATTCTTGACATAAAAAATGACTATTTTAAACGTATACTTTGTTTACAAAGACTCTAGACTTTGATTATGGAAATTTTGACCGCTAAAACTTTAGACTTTGACTACAGGAACTTATTTATGAGTCAAAAAATATTTCTAAGACAATTAGGAGTACTTTTTTACTTAATCAATATAAATTAACAATAATACTTTTTTTTTAAGTTTAACATGATAAAAATTTACATATAATATATTATATATGTAAATTTATGTTATTATATAGTTTATATGTTTATAAGTTTATATTATTATTTGTTATTTATAATATAAATAACAAATAATATAAATTTTATATTATTATATATTATTTTTTATTTATATTGTTATATATAATTATATTTGCCTTTTGAATGTAACATTGCGTACGGTATATCTTTGATTTTATATGCAATTATAACATTAAGAATAGTCAAAATGCTGAAATGCACGTTGTTATTTATGTTTTTATTATGTTTAATATATATTAATGTTGTTGATACATGAATTTAGCACGGAGACGTAGCTTTTTAGCTTGTTATAATTATTTTTTTTATTATTTTGAGGACAGCCGTCAACAAATAATATAATTACAAATAATTTATTTTAAATTTTTGAGAAAAGAGATTAAGTATAGAAAGAGAAAAAAATTTCTTAAGGAAAACGACAATAGAACAAGTAGAATGAATAAAAGTTTAGAGGAATGCTTAAGAATTTATATATTTTTAATTTTTACTGTTAATATGATATTACTGTTAATATGATATTACATTGTGATATGATAGCTTTTAATAAAAATGATCGTAATAGTTCACAAATTAATATATTTCTAATACTTTAAGTAAGAATATTTGAATATGTTAAATATTTCAAACGTAAGCTAGTTAAATTATGCGTTTTTGTGAATCGTGACTCGCGATAACGTTATGTAATTAGCATTCATGTAATTAACATTCAAATAATGTTGAGTATAAATTCGACTCGTCATGTACGATTCGTCGTTAGTATTAATTTACTAATCGAACTAATCCGCTAACTAGTTTTCTTACTAATCTCAAAGAACACGAACTGTTAGAATCAATCTATCATGTCGCGTTACATTTGTTATTAGCTTCATCGTGCTTCATTTTATTTTTTGGTGAACTTCTTATACCATCGAATGTTACTAAAACTAGTCGAAATACGACCAACTAAGGAACAATAAATTACAAATAATATATTGCGAATTGTGAATAGTGTGAAAGGTTTGCACTGACGAATCTCTCTGAATGTGAGTCGTGCTAGCTTAATAATATCTTATCGTGATAAGATTTGCACAATCGTGACGTGAGATTAATCTATAACCGAATTAAATCAAGGTTGGTGCTTTTAAAATCTATCGCTTTTAAAATCTAATCGAAAAGTTTGACAGGCATAATATAGTTTTCTTATGTATAATTAAGTTTAAGATAATTCGGAAATTGAAAATGTTGTCAAAGCTCAAAGCAACTTCCGGGTGTACTTTGTACGCGACAAGGCGTTATCTTAATTATTATCTCCTTTGAAGATTACATTATGAACCTTCATCGAAACGAGTGCTCTATCTACGAAGAAGCGTATAAGAAATCATTGGAATGTCCGGAAGAGTTTTGGGGTGAGATCGGCAGCTGTATTGATTGGAGCACACCTTGGCAGAAAGTCCTAGATAATTCTAACGAGCCATTTACGAAATGGTATTTAGAATATTTTATATATACATACATTTATATATAGTATATATATATATATATGTATTATATATATATATATGTATTATATATATATATATATATATATATATATATATATGTATTATTATATATATTTTTATCTCAAGAAAAAAATCGATATTCTAGATTAAGCAAAAAAGTTTCAATGAAGAATTTACTTTCAATTATTTTAATCAAAATCAGGAGATTGAATTTATGTTTCAAAAAAGAATGTTTTGTTCGATGAAATTTAAAAAATTTTAAAGATAATTAATTGGCTGTAAAAAATATTTAATTGACTAAAGCGGACTTGTAATTATCGAAATAGTTCCGGGACAATATGCGAGAGATTCTTTTTGTAAATACAGGTTTGTTGGTGGAGAATTGAACGCTTGTTACAACGCATTGGATCGCCATGTATATGCAGGGAATGGGGAGAAAGTGGCCCTTATACACGACAGCCCTCAAATGTCAATAATACGCAAAGTAACATACAACGAACTCTTAGAAAAGACATCCTTGTTGGCGGGTGCATTAGCCGAGCTAGGTGTACGTAAAGGAGATAAGGTGATCATCTATATGCCACTGATCCCTGAGACTATAATCGCGATTTTGGCCACCGCTAGACTGGGGGCGATTCATTCGGTGGTCTTCGGAGGTAATAACGAGATATACGTTATATGATAATTAAGTTATTTAATTTTCTGACTAGATATAGTAAAATATTTTATTCCGTAACGTAAAAAATGCTCTGTTAAAATAGTAAAATAATATAAAAAAATAAAAAGATAAGAGGATGAAAAAGTTTCACATAGAAAACGATGCAATTAAGATCATTTCTTTATATATATATACTTTCAATTTTAGAAATACACAAATTTGTTAAATATTTTCTTTGAATCATTCTATTGTTTCCATAAAAATATGAGATGTTGGTAGTAAAAATATTATGATTACCATGTTATATTTGAAAATACACATTTCAGGTTTTGCAGCGAATGAATTGGCATCTAGAATTAATCACGCCGAACCAAAGGTTGTTATTGCCGCGAGCTGTGGCTTAGAACCATCCAAAATAATTAAGTATGTCTCATCGTATTTCTCGATAAGTTTATTGGGATTATATTTTGTAAATTTATAATTAATTTTTAACAGGAAATTTATCGATAAGTTAATGTATCGATAAGTATATCAAGATTAGATTTTATAAATTAATAAGAAGTGTTAAAGATTTTATAAATTAATCGGAAGTGTTAAATAAGCAAGTGTCAACAAATTTATTTTTCTTTTTTAATATATCAAATGCCGAAAGATAATTTCTTCATAAACGTTTCTTTTTCTATGTTTTTTCACATCTTTTAATAAAAGATTATTTTTGCATTTTTCTTCTAACACGCATCTTTAAATGCAGATATACTACTATCTTAAATGCTGCTATGGATATGATTACTGCACCGAAGCCGAAATGTATTATATTTCAAAGAAGAAATGTTTGGGAAGCGCCATTGCTCAAGTCACAATTTGACTGGGATGAGCTTATAAAGAAATCTAAACCTCATCCATGCGTAATGGTTGAAGCTAATGATCCATTGTATATATTGTACACATCGGGAACTACAGGTAAAAACTTTGAATACAGTATTAAATAAATAGAAACACATACACGCACATAGAGACATATCTCTTTAGGAATATATGAATATAGAACAGTACATAAAATTTTTTTAAACTTTTTTTCCTCTAAAGATTCCTTTATATTTTGAAAAAATTATCGAATCACAAAATATATGTCTCTTCTCTTCTATATCGTTTCTTTTCACTTTTAAAATATTGATATCGTTTTATTTATGAGCTCTATTTTCTCTATTAACTTATGAGCTCTATTTAAGATTAAATATTTGCGTATAATATCTTACGCGATTTTGATAAAAATATTTGATATTAAGGGCAACCGAAGGGAATTATAAGACCGATAGGTGGTCACTTGGTGGCACTCTGTTGGACCATAAAAGTAGTTTACGGAATGAATGAAAATAGTGTTTGGTGGGCAGCCTCCGATATGGGATGGGTTGTTGGACATTCGTATATTTGCTATGGTCCTCTTTTGTACGGCGCGACGAGCATAATGTACGAAGGGAAACCCGATAGAACACCGAATGCTAGTCAATATTTCAGGTTTGAAAATTATCGTTCTACATCAGAGATATATTATTTACTAAAATATTATTTTTTAAAAATAATGTGAGAAAATAACGTGTGAGAATTTGAATAAAATAAATTTCCTTTATTATTCGATCACTTTTAGAGGATCGAAAAGCACTTTAAAAAAGTGTCTAAAGAGAAAATTTCTAAGTCTTCTAATATAAGTTTAAGAAGAAATTAAATCTGTATATATCTGTAATTGTGGAAGATTAAATTTTTTATAAAATCACACAGTTTACTTTGAGTTGTATTACAGCTTTTCAATTTTCTCTTAACAATTTTATAAAAAACAATTTATTTAGTTTCTATTTTCATGTGCAATTCACTCAAAAGTTTTTTTGCAAATAAAATATTATATGAAATATTTATATATAATATATTACATATATTTACATGCGTCTGGTTTACTTTTTAGATTATTTTATTTTAATATAATATTTTTCCAATGGTTCTTGTTATACATTGATAATTTAATTAATTTAAAAATATTTGTTTCTTTTTTTCCATAGAATCATTGAGCAACATGGCATAAATGCATTATTTTGTGTACCTACAGCTTTACGAGTTATAAGACGGGCGGATCCGGAAACGTTATTAGGAAAAAAGTATTCGTTAAAATCGTGAGTTTCGAAAATCTGAATTACCTTCGATTATGAAGCCGAATTATGATACAACGCGATTCACATATAGTGACTAAAAAAGACAATAATATAGCCGATCTTTCCGGAATAATTTCATTAAAAAATATATATATATATCGCGTTGTAAAAATTGTGTATATTTTCATCGAAATAAATTTATTATAAATAACTCGTCTTTTGCTTTTAGCTTAAAAACAATATTTGTGGCTGGGGAGTTTTGCGATTATGAAACAAAAGCATGGGCCGAGAAAGTATTTAAGGTGCCAATTTTAAATCACTGGTGGCAATCAGAGACCGGACATCCCATTACATCATTATGCATGGGATACGGTCATAGTCCTAGTTTGCCTAAGTTCAGCACAGGACTTCCTATACCTGGATACAATAGTGAGCCTTTAATTATTTTCAGCATTATTCACAGTTTCTTTATCGTATAATTATATAAAATTCATAATGTAATCGATATTATACATATAACATGTGATATATATATATATATATATATATATATATATATATATAATTCTTTAAATATATTATTTATCTTTCTTTTTTTCTCCAAAATTACTTTTTTTATAATAATAACCTTTCATTTAAATCTGAATTTATATAATCCTTTTTTATATTCAATTAAATACACAAGATCATCTTAAGTACGATTTTGAAGTATTATATCATTTGATTGCCGACTTAAAACCATATTTAAAATAATCTTGAATATAAGATTAGATTATAAATTAAGATTAGATTATAAATGAAAAATTTACAAATTGTGATTTGTATATACATATCATTTATAAATTTTTTATCATACAGTTCACATTTTGCGTGAAGATGGAAGTAGAGCGTCACAACATGAGCTCGGACGAATCGCGATAAAATTGCCATTACCGCCTGGATGTATATCGACTCTTTATCGAACACCCGAAAGATTTAAGGAAATATATTTCTCGACATTTCCGGCAAGTATATTAATAAGCAATTTTACACAAACTAGATTAACAATGTTATAGAGCAAATTCCTCATTTATTTGCGTCTCTCATTTATGAAAAAGAAAGAGAAATTCCAAAATTTGCACAAAATATTCGTTCAATTCTAATCCAGTAGCAAATCCCGAAAAATAAAGATTGCAAAGAACCATATCTATTAAAATTATATACCTTTATGTTCTTTTCTCTCAACATTAGATATTAATATATTAATTATTAATATATTAATATATTAAAATAATTACTCTTCACTTTTTTTCTTATATGTTTGATTATATTTTGATCAATGATTTTTGCAGAGCAAGCTCTTTCCGAATTTTAATTATGATAATTTATATAAAGTTAACTTTTTTGGTGATTTTAATTATTCGTATTTTGGATATTTCTTTAAATCATACGATAAAATTATAATTATTTATTTCTGAACAAATCGGAAAAAAATGATAATTATTGAATTAATAATTTTTAAAAGAAAGAAAGTATATAAAGATATATGAAAATATGATTTGATTATAGAAAAATGATATAACAAGGATGTTTCAAAAAGATTTTAATGCTATTCTTATATATTCAACATTTTCACTTAGACATATTTAAAAATCATTTTGTGTAGCTCAAAATATCGAAATTACTTTTTTGTAAATTAAACAAGTTTTGATCGTTCTCAAATGCCCTTAATATGTATTATTATATTGTATAATATATTAATTATATTATTTAATTAAATCTGAATATTTTTGCCAAAGAAAAGTCGATGTTTAAGATCGAGATTGTCGCGTGCATCTCTGTCGATTTTGATTTTAAAATTCTTAATTTTAATTAAATTATCTTAATTTCAGGGTTACTACGACACAATGGATGCAGGCTATATTGATGAGTTCGGTTATGTTTACGTGACAGCGAGAGACGATGACATTATAAACGTAGCTGGTCACAGAATATCAACATCTGCGCTGGAAGATATTATTTTTACTCATCCTGATGTTGTAGAAGTCGCAGTTGTCGGTGTACCGGATCACACGAAGGGTGAAGTACCGTTGTGCCTTTATATTAAACGAAATGGTTCGTATAATAATCTCGAATAACGAATTATAATTATTAATTATTTGCTATTTAAAGATTTTTCAAAAATATTGTTATTAAAATATTTGATCTTATCAATCTGACATCTTCTGAAGAACAATGATAATTTTTTTCACGTTATGATTACAGTTTTTTAATGCATCATTAAATAAATAATTTATTATTTACATTCTTCTTATATCAATACATAATAAAAATGAAAGGTTAAAAGACCGTGGCGCAGATTGTTAGAGCATAAAAAATATCATTTTCATTTTCATTTTTATTGTGTATTGTTTATTTCATTTATATTGTGTATTGTGTATTATCCGGATATTGCTTTTGTCTTCTTATATCATTCTTCTTCTATAATCAAATCATATTTTCATATATCCTTATATACTTTATTCTTTTAAAAATTACTGGTTCAATAATTCATTTTTTCCGATTCGTTCAGAAATAAATAATTATAATTTTATCGATTGGCTTAAAGAAATATCAAAAATACGAATGATTAAAAAAAGTTATGCTACATTATTGTTATACAATTTCGCTAATCTGGCAACTAGAAAATTACTAAGGAAAATTACTAAGGAAATTAATAAGGTATTTTTTCTTAGACGCGATTAGCAATGAAGAGGAGATAAATCAAGAGTTGATCACTCGAGTGAGAAACATGATGGGCCCGATCGCGTCCTTTCGGGTCGCCGCTGCCGTTACCGCGTTGCCTAAAACACGCTCAGGAAAAATAATCCGTAAATCTATTGCTACATTGGCGCGATCAAAACTATTCAAGGTAAAATTCGAATATTATAGAAGAGAATCTATCTTTCGAATCTCGACGCATCTCGAATCGTTGGTCGAGAGATAAATGTACAGTAGGCCAATAATGCCTTAACATATGAAATTGGTCGTCTTCGAGACTAATAATAACTAGTCATTATTAATCCCGAATGCGACGAATTTTATATGTTAAGGCATTATTGACGCTTACTGTACATCTATTATGTCTTTTTCGTTGTACGATTTAATATGTTCTTCGTATGTGTAATTATATTTTTTATTATTTTAAAACAATTCGAAATAGAATACTATTTAATATTAATTATTTAATAACATAATATTAATGAATAATAATTTAATGTTTAATAATACTGTTTAAATATTATCAAAGAGAATGCCTGTTTCTCGAATCTCGAAACGTTCATTTCGCGTCGAAAGACGCTTCTCGATAATCGAAATTTTAATTGAGAGAACCGAGAGATAAATGTATTGTGTTATTTTTTTATTACAATTTAATATAATTAAACTCGTTTTCTGTTTCTCAATTGTTCTTTAATTATTAGAGATTAGTCAATTCTAGGCTCGAAAATAAACTTATTTTACTTCACTAACCTTTTTCAGTGTGTTTATCTTCATCAACGACGAATACATTCCGTCAACTTTAATTTTCAGATTCCAAGCACGATCGAAGATCCAACAGTATTCCGCGAAATTAAGGAGGTACTTCAAAAGCTTGGATACGCAAAACTGGCCCCGGATCCACAATAATGACACTTTTTTATTATAAAATTCTTACGCAGGAAAATTTTTACGGTACTTTGAAAATAACTATGGTGGTCAATTTCATAGGAATAGAACGCGCGATTGTGTGCAATGTTCATTCATTAAGTCTGTTCTTTCTAATTGTGCTATGTTGCATTTTTTAAGAGACGTGTATACTTACACCTCCCCTCCCCCCCACACATATATATGTATGTATGTAGAATCCGCCAAAATCTTATTTCATGCCTGTTTGGTTTATTTAATATTATGTGCTCACTTTATATCACATATATTTGTCATATTGAAATAATGATAATTTTCTTTTCTTATTAAGCTGTGTCATAACATTTAAGCAAGTTTTTTACTTTATGACCTTCAGCACCTTGCTAATTGCGATAGTTTTATTTGAAATTATATACATAGCCATTATTGTAATAAATAAATAAATAAATATATAGAAAATATATAAATATATTGAGATAAAACTTAATTAAAAAGAAACAAAGAGAGAAGATATAGAAAGTACAACCGAGTACGTCCACGAGTACAACTAAAAAGAATAGACCTACTGATTTGAAACTGTCTACATTGTTTCAATATAAATTATAATTGATTGATAATTTATAATAGTAAAACGATTATCTTAAATGCACACTTGTACAAAAGTTAAGAACAATTTGGATAATTAATTGTTTGCTTGTAAATTTACAACTATTTACCCGTTTTCTACATGCCATAGACATTCAGTGTATTCGTAAATATCTTGCGATGCATATTTGGAAATACTTGCTTAAAAAATATTTATCAAAAGTATGCGTTAATGTGTCATATTGCTTTTTTGTATATATTTGTGTCTTATTATACATTTGTGAGGGATCAGGAATTTTAGTAAATTAAAAATAATGAAGACTATATATTTTTCTCTCATTTAAACTAAAAAATATTGAAAAATGAAATAAATACGGACGTATTCGTGCGCCTTGAATATCCGTAAACCCCATGTGCTATATACTTTATTCCATTGACTCGAATATAAAAAATCCGTCATATTGCAAGGATGTATACGACGGATATACATCCACGTCCCTATTAAAATTATCAGGGCATATTTTTTTGCAAATTTGTTTTTAATGACAATATAATAAGAAACAGTATAATAATAATTGTAATATTAATTTTATAATTATAAATTGTTGTGTAACACTATCTTGTTGATTTATTCAATAAATTTCTTTTCCAACTCTTACCACCACTTTAATAATTATTATTTTTAATAATAATTATATAATAATATTAATCATATTTCCTTAATGTTAATCCGTAATCGATATCAATCGCCTACTTTATTTCCCATTTATATGTGTCGCACCTCAGAAGAATAAAAATATCGTGGTTTTTTCTTTTTATTATCAAGGAGACACGGTTAAATTATTTGATCATTATCTATTTATAATTATTTCAATGCAAGTGCCATCATTCAGCTTATCTAATAAAAGGAACACACGCTCTTGAGTTTCGATTGTGTATGTCTCCTTATCTATATAATCGAATCTATTTGCTCTTATATATATCAGGCTATAAATATTTTTCCCTTCTTCCCCCCTCCCCCCTCCCCCCGCTTGTTGCGTCGTAGCACGCGGACGCACGTATAGCTCTGCGATACATAGGTGAGTGTTGTGTGTTTATATGTTACATTATTACTAATCCGCCAAATTTTATTTCATGCCCGTTTGGTTTGCTTAATATCGTGTGCTCGCCTTGTATCATCATATATTTGTCACATTGAAATAATGATCATTTTCCTTTATTATTAATCTGTGTCATAACATTTAAGCAAGTTTTTTTTTTACTCCACGACCTTCAGCACCTTGCCAATTGCGATAGTTTTATCTGAAATTGTATACATAGCCGTTATCGTAATCAAGACGTAAACAAGAAAAAAGCCAAATGATGAAGAAAGAGAATATGCTATATTAAAATGTTACTTACTTTCATCCCTAAGAGTAAAGCGACCCATTTGTTGGAATAACTTGAATCTTTCAAGACATATAACTCCCGCACACTCGATTCTCATTATAGCCACTTGGTCCTGCTTGACGAACCTTGGCCTCGTCTTGCTTTTATCGCCTGTTTTCTTATCAACCAAACAGATTAGCGCCTTTACCGTGACTTCCTCCGCGGCGCAATGAATGTGCATGACAGCACTGTATCCCGCGCAAATAATACTCTTGTGTTCCAGAATCACCACTTGCGCGTCGAAGACTTTCCCGGTTTTGATAGGATTATTGCTGTCGCATAAAACGAATCCGGGACTAACATCTTCTTCTTCGATACCTTTCAGCTTAATCTTTACATTTTCCCCAGGCCCAACGGACGTTACTTCCTCGTCGTCTGACCACAATTGATCTACCGTTACTGCCGTCTATATATTTAAAGTTAAATATTTTTATAAATAAATAAATAAATAAATAAATATATATATATATATATATATATATATATATATATAATATAAAAAAATATAAAATGCAAAATATTTATTTTCCACAAATATTACAAAAAAAAGAGTGTCAAAAATTGTCTGCATTAGATTGATGCAAAAGATTCTTTATATTTGTTAAATAAAACTGGAAATCATGGGAGAAAATCATAGTTTCAATGTAATTTTTATTAATCATTATATTGGTTTATCTTTTTTCTATTTAGCAAAAAGTTCTTTAATTTGTTTCTTAGAAAACTCCAAATTCTTAACTTTGTTTTAAATAGAATTTAGTAAAAAAAACATCTTTTGCATTGAATGTAATATAATTCAATATAAAGTAATAAATTTAGTTTCATAAACAAAAGAGTTATACATACCCTATTTGGCATAACAAGCAACGACTGTCCTTTTTTGGCTTCACCTGCTTCAACTTTACCCATAACTACTGTTCCCATGTCCTTATATTTGTCGACGATTGGCATGATGAAAGGTCCATTACTCTTACGATTGAGTGATGGTAGCGAATCAATAAAAGGTATGAATGGTGGACCGCTGTACCAATTACAAAGATGTTCAGGTATTGGATCCTTTAAACCAATGCCAAGTTGACCAGAGACTGGCATAAATGTAAGATCTTTTGTAGGATTGAATCCTAATTTACGAAGATATGGCAGTATCTTATCCCTGTAAAATATGTATATTTTACAATATTCTTTTATTTACACAAATCTCGACAAAAATGCATACATAACGTTACTGTCGATTGTCAGAAGACAAAACAAAGAAAGTATACCCTACTAAAAAAAAAAAAGTACAAATCTTGATACTATGTCTTGGTATAATTGTTCGTATAATTGTTCTAATAAATTTATTTATTTTAATTAATGTTATAACAGTTCTGATAAATTAATTTATTTTAATGAATGTTTAAATTGAACTTTATATATATATATATAATCATGTATCGATATATATTCCATTTATTATTATTTAATATATTTAAATCTTGCGCATTTTCGATGTATACCTGCATTCATTGTATCGTCCCTCGTCCCATTCGACAGTGGGGTCATCCATCTTATTCACTAATACAACCAGATGCTTGACACCCGCGGTTTTAGCAAGCATAGCATGTTCTCTCGTCTGACCTCCTCTATCGAATCCCGTTTCAAATTCGCCCTTTCTCGCAGAAATAACAAGAACTGCTAAATCGGCTTGCGCCGCACCACCAATCATATTAGGTACGAAACTTTTATGGCCGGGTGCATCTAATATTGTAAAGTGCTTTCGTTCTGTCTCGAAGTAGGCTCTACCCACTTCAACAGTTTTTCCCTTTTCTCTTTCTTCTTGATTTGTATCCAACGCCCAACTTAAGTACCATGTTTCTCGACTTCTTTCTTTCGCCTCTCGCTCATATTTCTCTAAGGTACGTTTGTCGACCATCCCCGTAAGGGCCATAATTTGACCCCCAATAGTTGATTTTCCAGCATCTGCAATACATCAAAGAATTATTATTCAGCAATAATTTTATTTTAAGAATGTATCAAGTAATATTCTATAGTTGTGCATTACACTTATGTGTAAATTTACTACTTACCTACGTGCCCTATGAAAACAACGTTAACATGTTCCTTTTTGCTTTTAGTATCTTCTGCTACTTTGATAGGTTTCTTTTTGGGTACTTTAACAACCAGTTCTTCATCTTCTTCATTATCAGCCTAGAAATAATGCAAAATATAATAATAATATAAAGATACATAATGATTAAAATTAATTTATTCTAATATTTATGAAAAAATGTTTACAAATCACTTAAAATAATCCTTGAGTAGGAGAAATTGTATAATCAAAAAATATAATCAGAAAAATTTTATATATAGAACGTATATTCAAATAAACTACTATTCTTCTTTAATCTATCTTAAATAAAATAATCTATCTTAAGATGAAATCATTTAATCTATCAAATTTTTTTTTATAGAAATATCAACATACGCATATACATATATGTATAAAAATATTAAACATTATAAAAAAAATGACATTCTGTCAAAAATTCAAGACAAAATCAATACAGAATTGCCTAACAATCTATAATTGAACTACAAACATTCTGTATAGATATAATACAAAAATCTTATTACTGAAGTATGTACTTGAAGCATTTAACTAAACTTCCTCATACTTCCTCATACTTCCCCATACTACTTACTTCCTCATTTTCAGGTGTAAGTAAAGGGTCACCATCGACCGCTGCCTCTTCCCAAGAATCTGCAGGTTGATGCTCTGGACTGATATTTAGTTGGTCGTTAACATTCGGTGGTGGAGCCCCTCCCCCAGCAGGAGGTTCCTCAACTCGACTGCCAATTGGATCTGATAAGACAACAGGAGTAGAATTTCCTAGAAAAATACAAAGAAACAAAAAAAAAAGACGAAAAGTAGATTTTATTATTTATAATAATTTTCTTTAAGGAAGTGCTTTATTTATATTATAGTAATTTTATTACCTTATTTAAGTCAAATATTTCTAGTTTTGCACAAAACTGATAAAATAAAATAAATAAAGCTAAGAAAATTAATAATTTTTAATATTATGAGAGTAATATAAAATTCCATACCAAATATTGCAATATTTTTTGTCACACAGTTACAAAGGTCAACGAGAAAGATATCAATTCAATCTGTATCTGTTCAATGTTATACAGGGTGTTCTTCAAAGTTTGGCTAAATTTTACCAATAATACTTGATCGATCGTACTGATACCAAATCAGCAAATATGGATCAAACAAATGGATTTTTTTTTATTTGACTCACAGACATTGAACGCTATGTTAGAGTGAGAAGATACTTTAACATTTAAATGTACCGTCAATGTCAAGTGTCTGAAATCATTATTCGAATAATTGTTGAAATGTAAAGCAGCGTAACATAATTACGCAGAATATATAATTATAATTAAAATATCAAATAACAATAAGATATAAAGATAGACAATAATCTCCTATTTCTTATTAAAATAATTTTGGTAACAAAGATGAGTATCCACTTTGAATACTCGGGTACAAACCAAATCATACGTGCAACGAATAACGTTAACATAAAGAAATATTCGCCAGCTATTGCAAGTTCGAGAACGGGAAAATCTGCTCGTATATCAATCAAACCATATGGTATCTAAATCTGGTAGCAACATACGAATACAGCATAGATACGAGAAGGCACTCCACAAAATTGAAAGCCAGACGGAAAAGTAACGAGAAACGAATAAGGAATTCCTTCTCGATACGCTCGACCGTGCGAGGGAGATGCCCGTGCTCGTGCATGCCTCCGCATGACTCAACGTTGCAACAACGAGGGGGTTAGTTGCGGGGGAGTGCGCGCGCGAGAATCATAACAATGATAATCGCGGCGCAGGTCGCGAGAACGTCCAGCGTTCCCGTCGCGTGGGACGTCGAGGGGGGCAAAATTCCAGCTGGCGAACTAACCATGATGTATCTCGACGGGCATGGAGGTGGTGGTTACGGTATTCATCACCGCAGCGGCGACATTGCAGGGGCTGCTGTCGGCTGCTGTCGTCGCTGTGTTGCTCTGCGGCGACGAGCTGATGCAGAAGGAAGGCACGAATTCCGCAGCGTTGACGTTCAGAGTGGAGAACTTACTCTCGATGGACTTGTCCTGGGGCGGGCCGACGATATCGCCGTTCGTGTCCGCCTGCTGTTCCCACGAGTCCGGTGCGATGCTGTTCGCCATGTTAATCAGTGTTTCGGCACACACGCAGCCGGGTACACGGCTAAGACCGACAACGGAATCCTGGATAACGGAACGGTGGGGACACGAGGGCAACGCAAGTCGCAACCGCACGCCGCGCGCTGATCCGACACGGGCTCGGGACGGGTTTAAAAAAATAGTTTTATTTGTGTCACGGCACACACTTCGGCGTACACACTCACCGCGTACACGCGCCGTATGATCGCTACTCCGCGTGCGTACGTGCGTGCGTCCCCCGTGGTCCGCCTCGATGCTGCTGCTGCTGCTGCTGCGCAAAGCTGCTGCTGCCACCGCCGCTGCTGCCACCGCTGCGCTCGCTCGGAGGCCGGAACCAACCGGAACTACCGCGATCGAAACGTCGACTCGAGTCAACGAGAGCCGAGATCCGCCGATCGAGTAAATAAAATCCGCCGAGCGAATAAAATCGCGCGCGAGGCGAAGGATATTTTTCGCGAGATCCCTCCCGTTTCGATCAACGACATTCCAACTTTCGACGTGTCTTTCGCGTTTATTGAAACGTAAATGTCTCTAGCGTTGCGCCTAGAGACTTTTCGGAATTGGAAAGGTGACTGTAAAAAAAATGAATTGACTTTCGCTCGGGTGTGATTTGACCGAACGTACTTGTGTTTATATACGACGAGCTTGGTGTTCCGACAGCTTGTTCGCAAGCTTTCCCTCCTGATATCGACAAGCCTGAACAAATCGTCGAAATCATGGATTTATTGGGCTCCATTCTGAAATCCATGGACAAGCCACCGTCGGTGAACGACAAGCAGAAGGCGCTTATGAAAAGTCAGTTGAGTCCTAACCTAAAAATACGCAATTTACAAAAAGACAAACGAACCGTTTTCGTCAAAAGCTTTAAGAATTTCTTCGTTTATGTGAACTCATTTCGATTATGCAGAACAGCAAGAGGAATATCAGAAACGTCAGAGGGCCGAGGCGGATAAGTTGAAAGTCTTTCGGCAAAAGGTAAAGCCTTTATTTTACTTTCTCTTTTTTTCACATTTTTCGATTAATTATTCGGATTCGGTTTTTTAACAAGATATCATCTCTATATCGTAGATCGAAGAAGAAATTAACAAGTTCCTACAGGATGACAATATGAAAGAACACAAATTTTCTGCCATGGACCAGATACACAGGAGCATTGTGTAAGTATAGATATATTGTTTGGCGATTACACCTGAAATGTTAGACGCACATGTTATATTTGTGGAACATTCTATGTTACATATATTTCTCTGTTTTGGACTCTTAGTCATGATGTAGCAGAAGTGGCAAATGTTTTGGCGTATTCCTTTGGTGAGGAAGGTGTCGACCGCTATATTATCATCTTTAAGAGGGAATATGCACCTTCGGAGGATCAATTAAATACATTACGCAAAGGCGAAGAATGGAATGAGGAAGTTGCGAAAAGATTAAAGAAAGAGAGAGAGAATAAAGCCAAGGAGGAGGCGGAATATGCCAAATCTAGGAAACGAAAGGAGAATTTTGTACCCAACAGCTTTTACAAAGATAAATATCAACATCTGATTGGTAAGGAAGCTGCTCTTGAAGCTGCTAGAAAAACAGAAGCCAATAGTAGTTATGGATGTGGTGAGTATAAATATGATATAAATGCAAATGTATATAATGGATATTTGAATTTTAACTTGAGCTTTACTGCAAACAAAAATCATTCGATGATTATTGTATATAGTATATTGTATAGTTTTAAAAAATGAAACATGTAATATACAATTAATGATTTGGATTTGTAAATCAAAATTACAAAAGTTTTATATAAGTTACAAGATTGATAGATATGTGTGTGTAAAAGACTCATCTTGCATATACAAACACATATTAGTAAAATTTGTCAATTTCTAGTTCCTAGTGAAAACAAAAAGGACCAAAGAAGTATAGAGCAAACTCTAGCTGACATACGTGCTAAAAAAAGGAAATTGGAAACAAATAAAGAAACTAGCAGTTGCAGCGACAACAGTACAAAATAGTGCTATTATATAAATAATTATAGGTATACATAAATTATCTATATCCAATTGATTGTAAATAATACAGCATATTACATGTTACAATGTTATTACAGATTATATGCATTCCTAGACAAGTCGCGCACATAGTAATCTATTTTATTAAATTTCCGAGTTTGTTTGTTCAAACATCTTACGAGTTCTACAATGGCATTACAATTAATATATATCTATGATGGAAGTGAAATAACAAATCACTTCCATTTCATCTCATTATGATACGTGGATCTACTACACCTAAGAAACTCGATCTCATATGTACAATATAATACATCATCCGGTACATTACATACATATAGTGTATGTATGATATACATATACAAACATTTGTTCCTGTGACATTTTTCCCTCACCTATAAATCAAGTGATGATATTTTTATTTTAGCTAAAGATATTCTGTAGTAGAGTATTTAGGAATTGATGTTCTCGGAGCTGGTTTCGGCTTTGTAGGCGATGGAGATTCGAATACAATTTGTTCTTTCAGGGTAAGCAGCTTTGTGAATTTTTGATTTGTCACGGATTTGTACAATTCCATTCCTCGAGCGATAATAATGTCTCGTACATACGCTGCATTATTTTGTACTAATTTTCGCTGAAAACAAGTAAAATTTAGACGCGTATTATAAAATTTAGACGCGTATTATACCAATTTATAATACAATAACTTGATAGAAATAATACTAGTGTTACCTCTTGTTTTAATTTCGGATCCGTAAGCGAAACAATCAAATGTTGAACTTCGACCCGCATTACGGATACTAATGCGTTATCTATCGTAGACATAAGCTCGGGTATAGCTACGCTGAGGCAATCTTCTAATAGACTGATATAAATCTTGGAGAAGGTTAATGTATTGTGTGTCAACGGTATCCAACAGTCATTTGTTGCATATGACGATGGTACGCCAATACCAAGCTCGTCGAGCTCTGATAATAGTTTCTGGAGATTTTGACTAGTTTCCAGATTTGTCGGTCGCCAAGTATCCTCTGCCACATGACGCTTCATCGTATCGACGCAACTCTCTCCTGCATCTTGAATGGCTTTGGCTAATGGAGATCTGATTTGTCCATCTAACTGATAACGAAAGTCCATGCCCAGCTGAGTTAGCTGAAAATTGAATTATTACAAACTCATATATATTGAAACATGTGTACAAACTCGTGTATAAATGTGTATAAATTCGTGTGTATAAACATATATCTAACATACATAAATACATTCAAATATCTATCTCTATTTTAATCCTTGAAGAATACGCACTTGATCACAGTGACCTCGAACAGCAACAATGCATTCTACCAATACGCTTAAAGTGATTTGCGGTACAAAAAGTTGCTCAGCCAAGTGCGACGTTAAATGTTTCACTTCTTGACTGCACCATACAATTAAACCTTAAATACCAACAAACAGTTTATAAATTAATCTAAATCTCTTAATTTTTGTGACTAATATCTTTATCAATGTTGACTTACCGGAAGTACAATTTGCAGATTGAGGAAAGGTTTTTAAGAATTCTCTCGCTATTTCTACTATATTGCTGAAGGCAATCGCGCTGAGTTGCTTTACATAAGCCATGGTTGTGCTTTCTCGTTTAATCCTCTTCAATCGCGCCTTCAATACCGCGCTACATAATCGTAGATACAAATGGCATGCTTGAGCGCTCCTATTCAACTTTATCAGAAGTTTAACTGTACGTCGCGCGCTTCTCAACCCGCCTCCTTGTAACGACTTTGCTTCGGCACTCGATTCTAGTTCCTTGGTTAGTACATTGACCAACGACCGACCTCTGTCATTTACCTTCGTCTGGATCTCCGTCAGTAACGGTATAGGTTGAGCATCCTTCAGATAGACTTTTGCTTTTTCTAGTAAACTGTAAGCCTCTTCAAAATGACGTTGCGCTATGCAGGAATCCAGATCTTCGGCTACTTCCAGCACCCACTCTGGAGGCGGTTCGTGATATTCCGAATCGTCATCGTCATCCATGCCTAATGAGAATTTAAATGGAAATCCTTACAATTTAAATAATTGTGAAAATGCTTGATGAGTAAAATATAAAGAAAAATGATAATTAATATAAACAGGTGGAGAATGATATGCATAAATAAAATAAAAGCCAAAAGATTCGTTTGAAATACAAGAACTTTATATCTGTAAATCTCATCTGTATCTCTCACCTAATGTATTGGAATCTAACGACATTGAACGAGACGGCGCTGCTTTGTCTTCTTTTGGATGTTTATCGTTATCCGGCGCATTATCAGTCGAATTCTCCTCTGCTAGCTTTGCTCTTTTTGCTTGCTCGCACTTATCTAACCATTCTTTCTGCAAAATAAATAGATTCAAACAATTCTATTTTTTGTTTTAATATCATTGTTTTTGAACACACTAACTTTACTTGTCGCTGTAGGGCACTGAAACACCCTTGTGTCAGAAAACGCCAATAGTTTGAAGGCCAGTTTAACTGTGCCATGATCCCTCACATTGACAATCGCTAGGCTTTCAAGATTATAAACCGCTTGCATTTTATATCTAGGCGGACCACGCCTGCCGCCATTTGCCAGCCAAGATGCAATCATCAAAACATCATTGAATAAATATGCGTGAATTCTCTTTAATGGTGTTCCCTCGATGGGATCTAGCTCAAGCAGGGAACCTTCGTGTAAGCATATACGTCCTGGAGTTTCAGCTAAGCTCTGTAAGAAAAAGACAATTTTTTACTTATACTTGTAATAATACATTTCATTTATTAGATATAATGACTAACCAGAGCCCCTTCAACATTTTCAATCAATTGAATGAGTTTTTGCTTTTGTTCCTCTTCCTTAGATACGGAATTAGCAGAATTCTCTTGCTGTGACAAATCTTCAAAGACAACGCCTGCTGTTCTGGTAGATCCTAGCATGCTTAATAAAGCGCGTTGTTCACTCAAAAGCTGTGACAATTGATACATTTCACTCTCCAGATGTGAAATCTCCTTGGCAGTCTCAATAAATTGCATATAATTTTGATATACATTTCTTTTCAATTGAGCAGATGTGTTATTTGCCAGTTCTTGTATTTTTGCACGCTGTTGCCTCAGTTCGTCTGCACCAATGCATTGTGCGCTGAGTTCCTTCACAACTATAAACAAAAAGACTCGAGTAACTAAATATAACTGATTATTATCATCGTTTATATATTTCAAAATCCATATTAAACTTTATAAAAATTTAATCAATCAATAAACATTTATATGATATGTTAAACTTGTTAAAGACACAAGTTCAAATAAATGTTGAATGTCTCCTGACAAGTCTCCTATGACTGAAAACAAATCGTTTCGTATCCTATTATATATTTAAGAAACTTACTGAAAAATCGAGAAGTAAGATTGAAAAGTAAAATTTTATATTTCTTAGCCTGCGCGCGCGCGAGCAAAGTATGTGTGCGAGACACTTACATTTTTCTGGGTTAAAGTCCTCGGCTGCGAAAACCTTTACTAAATTATTATCAGCCATTGTAAAAGACAGTCGTCTCTCTCCCTCCAGATTATTATTATCAACAATATAAGTTACGTGCTTTTGTCATGTTATATTTCGATCAAATCCCTTCACGTCACTTGTCACGAATAAATCGACATGGTTTACATCACTTGACACCTCCTCCGCCTCGGCCTGACCTAACATAACCTTCGATATTTTCTGCCAACCACGAAAGAAGGACCGACAATAAGCTTGCTCGATAAAGTTAACGCTCTTAATTATCTTCAAACCCATATGATAATCATAAAGATTTACCGATGCACGGTTAGCAAAGATTTATCATTACTTCTCTTGACTCTTTATTAATTAAGACGATATTTATTCAATATAAAAAAGAAAAGAGTTTTTTCTATATTAGAGTAAAGTGTGAATGACATTACTAATAATTTTGTGTATATTTTACATTAGCTACAATTGTTATCGAATTCAAATATTTACTTTCAACGAGATGCACCAGGTGGTGTTGTCTCATTATATTGTACACGAGTTTATATTTATTTATTTAGATATTTATTAAAATTCTCAAGCTCCCGTTGCAAAATTTTTACTAAAATAACAATCGTTGGTGTGAAAATAATTTTTACAAGGTGTGTGTTTGTGTCGAATCGATATTTTCGGTAACTTATATGTGCCGTTTACACCAAGTCTTTCAGCTGGGAGTGTGGCGGCTCCTGTAATCCGGCTACTCGGAGGCTGGTTATGTAGGAGGGTCTGAGGTCGGGGGCACCTGCTGGTGCGGGGCTCACGTTGACTGGGCGTCCGCACTAAGCTCGCCATCAATATGGGCACCCTGGAGGAGTCCGGGGTGACCAGGTTAGCTAAGGAGAGGCGAACCGGGCCAGAGGGGAAACCCAGCAGCCAAAAGTCTCCGTGGCGGGCAGTAGTGGGATCGCGCCCGGGAGTGGGACCGCATCGGCAGCCTGGCTGATATGATCCGACACATAACTTTTGCATTTTTTTTCAATTTTTCAACGATTCCTGAAGGCCTCCCCTTTTGTATTTTCACAAAATTTTATTTTTCCAACGTACTTTTGCACATATTTTTTTTATTATATAACCGACCTGTTTGCCGAGAATACGAAATTGTACTTCTCCTCTTTTTTGGACAATAGAGACTGATTAAAACTATTTTTTATAATTATTATAATTATTTTTTATCACTTGTATATTAATATATATTTTACAATAAAGCTGACTATAAAAAATTAAAAATTTTAAAAAGACTAAACATGTGTTCCATATTTGTAGTACAAGACTTGTACCTATATAATAAATTAATATATCAACTTTTGTTAATTTTATTTATTTTAAAAAGTCTCCACATTATTTAATAAAAATATGTTAAATCATAGAAATACTTGAAATAAAAATTGGTGATGGAGAAGGAGGATATATATATATATATATATATATATATATATATATATATATATATATATATATATATATGTAACACATGTATTTATGGAAAAATTTTTATCCATTCTATTGTCTTATAATGAAAATGATGCTCTTACAGTTGATAAGAATTAATTCACTGTAGCAAGGAGATGATTTATAACATATAATATAAAGATTTAAATTGTATGTGTAAATTAATTTCTTCTTGATATAATAAGCTTTGTCATCACAATACAGTTTATGCTTATTCTTTTATCTATTATAAAATTCTATGATTTTTGCTTTTCCTTCTTTGCTTGTTCCGCCAACGCTTCTAGTCGATCATGCTCTGCGATTAAGGTATCCACTTCATTTGCTGGCAGTATTTTCGTTTTTGTTTTACCATTTTCACGTGTTAATATCGCCATTTCCACTGCAAATAAAAGAGAAAAACTTTAATAATTTTGTCAGATGTTATTTTAAAGCATTAAAAATTAGATTTACAATTTTATCGATCTTTAAAATTGTCAATTCATAAATAAAAATTTACCTTTTTCAGCAGAGAGTTTGTTCATATCTAGTGTCTTAGAGAGCACTTTAATAGCGAGTGCCATCGCATCTTTTAGAGTGGTCTCACCCTCTTTATATTCCTGTTTCAATGACGAGACTGCTGCTGCCGAATTATTCCCGATACACGTCGCCTTCCAACCACCATAATTTCCACTAGGATCCGATTGATACAACTGATAGCCATAGTGTTTATCCCATCCCATGTATAAAATAGATACACCAAAGGGTCTTTTTCCACCGTATTGAGTATATGCCTGTTTAACGTCGCATAACCATGAGACAAGCTGTTCACAAGGTATAGCTTCCCCATACTGAAGAAGATATCTCTGTGCAATGAGACGTAACTCATTTGTTAACACATTTGCATCCGAAGTAATGCCAGCCACTGAACAAACTATGTCGTCATTCAGCTTGTAGATCTTTTCTGAGAAGAAAACTTCATCCAACAACTTGTTGGTGTTCCGTTTCTCAGCTACTAATAGAATACCATCGTTTGCTAATATACCCAAACAAGTACCAGCATGACTTATAGCTTCCATAGCATATTCGACTTGATAAAGTCTTCCCTCTGGTGAAAATATCGTAGTACGCGTGTCGTATCTACGTGCCTATAATATAATAAATATATAATTAACATATTATGTGTCAACTAAAAGAAATGACAATTGAAATTTGAATTAACTTATTAAAATTTATATTTCTATTTTACCATAAAGTAAATGAATAAATTCGAAATAAGATTATAAAACTGTTGCGAATTACAAAAAATCCTCTTAAATTAAATTTTTAAAGAGTAATACATGTCTTTTTTCGTACTTTATTAAAATTCAGAATTCTGAATAAAACATATTGATTCGATCATAAGAATCTTATGATATATTAAATATAGTTACGGCAATCAATGAAATTTACTAATATCCTAAAATTACAATAAATATTAGATTCGATGACAATGCATTTCCCGTATAACCTATAAACGACTGAGTATTGAAAGTGCAAATGACTTCAAAGTTGAATAGATGAATTATAGCGAAATTCATTCACTTACCATTTTGCGAAGACTTTTATGTTTTTAAAATATTTATTACTTAAAGAAATCTACGAGAAAATGCTACGAGTTTGACACCTCAAGTAAAGAATGATTAGTAACAGATATATATTTGTGAAACTCTCGACTCTTCGTTTATATTCGAGAGCGACTATTCAAAATCGATAAAGCTCGCGGCAATAATTAGAATCGATATATAAATTTGAAATAATACAAGACATTCTTTTTTTTAATATACACACGTTTTCTTACTTTTTTCTAAAATTATATAAAGATAGGCATTAAAAAATCGACTTAATATACCTTTCTCTAATTTTGTAATTTTCTTTGTAGCTTCATTCGTTTCTTTTCCTTTACGTTTAATCCGTATGAAATTTTTTTGATGCAAGGTTTATTTTCTAAATTTGTGGATTTCAATAATATGCAAGATAACATTGTAAAGATATTTATTATCAGTTTCAAATATGACACATTTATTTAAACTTATAGTTGATTAATTATTAATAAATCAAATACATATTTTCGTATGCAAATATCTCTACAATATCATGAACAAACTAAATAACTACTCTTTTTTTTTAAATATTTAATTAATTTTATAAATTTATTATTTATTGAAGTAAAAAAAATATAGAACATTTGTTCATTCTGTTCAGTTACTAACATAATACTGAATGTGCAAGATCGTACATAGCGTATGAGAAAAGTTTTATTTTTTTTAATGAGATTCTTCACGCAGTTTAAGCTCTTTCAATTGTTTGAGTAATTCCGCACTCTCTTGAGCAACAGCGTTCTGAATATCTGTCAAATAAGCTAATCGATCATTAAATTTCTTAAAAACATCATCGCATTTTAATCCCCTCTTATCTGAATCTTCATTTTGATTGATCTTTTTTATGTCCTTTATAGAATCTACTTTTTTCACATCAGAATTACTCTTTAATAGAGCCAACATTTTATCAGTGATTCGTTCAGATGCTCTAGAAGTATTTTCAATAATGGTTTCATCTTTTTCTTTTTTTAAGTTACTGATATCGGATATTTCAAAAGTTTCATTTAACTGAGATGTTTTAATTTCTCCTTCATGATTTTGATTAAAAAATGACAAGTTTTTCGTTTCTTCATTGGTGTGCTGAGAATAATCTAGTGAACACGCTCCCTGCAAATGTATTAATTTAAATAAAAATAAATAAGCATATTATATATAATATATAATATATTATTTTAAATAAATAAGAATATTAATAAATAATTAAAGTTCAAAGAGATTATTAATTTGAATATATAATATATTATTTTACATATAAATTCAAGCAAATATTTATGAAAACTATATAAATATATGTTATAAAAAACAATATGTACCATATCATTACTATATAAAGAATATTCCAATTGCTGATTAATGTCATTGCATTCAGGAGCTAATTTATCATACAATGTTGTATAGAATAAATTTTGGAATTCATTAGTGGATTTAGTTTGAGTACTTGTATGAAAATTATCATTTAACTGACTTCTATCAAAATCATCTTGTGTAGTTTCTCCATCATATAATGTTGCAGGAGTACTACATGGAGGACGTACTGGTGGTTCTTGTACCTAAAAAAATTACAGCAAAAACAAAAAAAACAAATATATGTATAATTATAACTAATACATTAATTGATAAATTAATTAATAACTTATAATTATGTTGTTTATTTAGATATACATTCAATATCTGTTTTGGAAATGTAGCTTACTGTATCATCTCTTGTTAATGATGTTGTTCTTGCAGTATTAAATGCTCCCTTAAGATTTGCTATACGCATTCTTTCGCTATCTCTAAATTTCTTCTTCTCTGATTTTGATAATCCAGGTATACACCGTATCACTTGTTTATTTGCTGATGCTTCCATTGGATTATAAGATGGAACTTCTGGTTCCTATTATACATATGTTTTAATTCATTTAATAACTTTTATATAAATTAATTATTGCTATGTTTTATACCTCTTCCCAATTTTCAGTTGATCTATATGTATCTATCATTATATCTTTTTCTTGTGTAACATGTCCAGTATCCATATTTATTAAATTTCCAAGACTTGGACATGTTTCGATATGTTTCTACAATATTAAAAAATATGAAATATAATAATGTAAGAAAAGATTTTTCAGGAATATATATTAAATATTTTGAATATAAATAGATATAGAGTAAATATTGAAGGCTTTTTAATTTATATTTGTATACATACCCTAAGCTGGTCACGATCTACTATATGACTTTTATCCAATGGACACTCTACTTTGTTTTCTGTCTTAGCAGTTTTTTTGCATTTAGCTACATGACTCATAAATTTGTATTTACGAATGCGATGTGCAGGATTGTAAGGACAGGAGACTAAAAGATCTGGTTCCATTTTGGAAATTCAGTTTTGTGAATTATGTAATACCACACTTTACTGCAATGTCATTATTAATATAAAATTAATTATTAAAGAGATACTAACAAAAATATGAAACAAAAAACTGTTAACTTTTAGTACATAGTCAACAATTTGAAAATAAAATCTTAGTCTTTTAATTTCAATCATTAATCTTTCTGTCTACTAGTTTCTCAAAGTTTATGATATAGTATATTTGGATATATGTTTAGAGATATTGATGGAATATCAATTGGCTAAATAAATCTAGAGTCTGAAATTATCATATATGAAAAATTTGTACAATTTTTTTAGTAGAGAAATAATGAAAATTTAATATGAAATAAATATAGTAGAACTTAAAAAAATCTTTCCTTATACTTTTCTTTTAATATTTTCATTTTAATTATATTGTTAATACAAAATATTTTTCCTAATTAAATAAAATTATAACGAGAAACAATAATATGTATAAAATAAAAAATAAACTTTTATTTTTATATTATTTTTAACCAATAAGATAAAGATTTATTCGAAAATTATGTCCACAACTTTAATTTTATTAAAATCCATTAATCTTAACAAAATATAAAGTTTGATGAAAAGTTCGTTACGAGGTAAAAGCTTGAACACTTCTTTGTTAATTTCTGAAAATAATTTATCACGATAACAATCGTATATACTTACTTTAAACACCGTATTTCTTTTTCTTTATGGAAATTTCCATCAAGAGTCTGTATTTTTCCTTTTCTTTTTCAACGCAGTATCATATTTCAACCATAAAGACAAAGAATAAGAAGCAATATCATATCATAACAGTTCCTGATTGGCGTATTCCACTAATATACAATGCCTATGTTCCAAAATTCACTGCCAGCTGAAAATATATAATATACGTAACGTGAATAGGTGGCATCCGATTGACCACGTCGCCAATTGGCCAATTCAAAATAGGACTCTCTGATTGGTTAATCGTTGCTGGTTACCCTAGGCACAGGTCGATATAATTGGCTGTGGTCAATCGCAACGTGGTCAAACGGGACGCTCCCACGTGACTATAGATTTTCAGCGCTGGCAGTGAATTTTGGAACACGCTCAATGAGAAATGTCTTTAGTCGAGATGATATAATATAAAAAGAGACAGAGATCCATCCAATATACATGTCTCTTTCTAATTCTGGTCTCGATTCTCGCCAAATGATTTACGAATCTGATGAGCGCGCGTTTCAATCTTGCGAAATCTGTGTCCATATTTTTTACGCATATATAATAAATTTATTCTCGAAGGAAATAAAAGGAAAGTCACAAAGTATGAAATTTGATGTAACAGTGTAAAATACAACATAAATTTCTTCAGACATTTCACTCTTTATTTTCCTTTTGACTATAATAACTTGAACTCTTTATACACACTCTCATAGCCTAAGTACGTGTAAATATAATAACAGAAATTATAACATATCGCGCAAAACTTATTGTTTTAAAATCCTATGTTTACAGACCTCGCTCTCTTTCTCTTTCTCTACTCTAATTCATGGAATGATTGCAGATATTTATCTCACAGTTGTAATTCCGTCGACATCAGAACCACAAGAATAATGACAATTTTTGTAAGTCTTATATCGTTTAATTAAATTATGAAAAGTGCACGTTTTTCACACAATGCATAATAAAGCGACGCATCTTGCACACACACAAATTTATAAATTAGTTGTAATGCTAAATTTTTTTACGTTAAAAATGAATTGTTCAAGAGTACTGTTTTTCTCACAATGTATAGTGTTATTAAACTAGCTCGAATTACAATGAAATATTCTGTTTTGTTGTGTAATATAAATTCTTTTGCTAAAATGTAAAACGCGTTACATAGTTAACGTGTTCGTTATTAAAATTTACATGTTATATAAATGAGAAATATACTTGATATTATTCCACAAGATTTTTTGGACATATAAGGCTTTATTTTTTGTAAATACAAATTCAAGAATTGGTGTTTAATTCACACATGTTTGTAAAGAACATATGTCTATTTTGGTCAATTTTCATTATTAAAAGTATAATTTTATTTTTTTTAAATTACCATAATAGATTCAAAAAGCACTGTAACACATAAAATTATATTTAATATCTGACAAAAGAAATGATTTAATATATACAATTCAATTATAGATCTGTATGTATGTATATATGTATATGTGTATATAATTATTAAATAATATTTATATATATAAATTTCGAAACTTACTTTAGTAAAAACAAACATGTGTTTCACAAAGAAGAAATTCATTCGAGCACTATGATTATATTTATAAATAACGCAGTGCAATAAATATAATAAACAGATACATGATACATTTCAGAAAATAATCGACTACAAATAACGCATGCGATTTGTACAATATATATTAAGTTATATTGCACATATCATCCAACAAGGATTTCGAAAACACAGTCCTGCATGAGCTTATACAGATTTATACTTAGTGGAAGTCAGAAATCCAATCTACTGCTGTCATCTTTAACTATTTAAGAATTAAGTATTTCTTATAAAGCGCGGCAAATTTTGTTCATATTTGCATGGGCAATTAATATTCCTTACTCATTAGTAAGTTCATACAGGAATTTATTTGTTTTAAAAAAACGCACTCTCTATTTGATAATTATACACAAATAAAAAATTTTCAGTAAAATCATCATAATGCCCATATCTGTTTTTTTCATAAACGCTGACATAAAACATTACAAGTAACTTAGTAGAAATATACATATATAAGGCATTTTTTTTAATTCTTCAATTTGTCAATTTTTCTTACATTGAAATATACGCTTCATCATGTACAGATTCAATGTACAGATTTTCAATGTACATTATCAATATCTATACATAGTTCAAGGAACTTTTCTTACATAATGTACATGTGATGTATAAATTCATAAAATATTCCATGTACATAAATTCCAATATGTATGAATATATATATATGTGTGTGTGTGTGTGTGTGTGTGTGTGTGTGTGTGTGTGTGTGTGTGTGTGTGTGTGTGTATGAACATGTGTGTGATGCATATAACATTTTTTTAAAATTTTAGGCACATCGAGCACACAACAATGATAAACGTACACAATAAACCTTAGTTATAAGAGCACAGTAACTTTTATACATATATATCTTTCTTCGATATATAATTAATAGTATAAATTAAACACGGCAGCGGTTATTATGATTTAATTAAATCATAGCACAGCAGAACTTGTATGTGTACATAATATCTAAATATATACCATATTTGAGAGTGTAATTAACACTTTATAAAATATTGATTCTATTTCATTAAATCTAAGAATATTTATGGATTTGATTATTTGATTACAATGTAATAACATTAACATACATTTTATTTGATTGTTTGTACTACAGAGATTTTTTCAAAAACTGATAGTCTTTAAAATCAATAATGAAATATGTATATGTATATATATAACAAATGATAACAATATTTATATTGAAATTATTAAAAACATTCGTGTAACTTGTTTCATATATATAAAAAATTATTTCGCAACAATTCAATGTATCAAGTCTTATATTTTAATAATTATTGTATTTTTTTTATGAGGACATTCTTTTATACTTTCATATGTAAGTCAGTATTTTTCAGTTTACTTTATATTATTTAAAATACATATGCATATGTATGTATGATATATTTCATATATTATGTTAACACGGTTCTTTTAGATATATATAGAATCCTTATAGTTATGTTCACCAAAAATCAACAAATTGTTGTTACTACCAACAATTCATATTGTGTAATCTTCTATTGTTCTTTGTATATATTTTAATCCGTATCATTCCATTATATCGCTATATAAAATTATTAAATGTATTATTAAATATACCATACAGTCATTGTACATTTAGTATCATGGTAAAATAAACAAGCATCAAATTATCATATCGATTATATCTAAAATATTAATTTTCATATTATGAGGCAACATGATTATTTTTTAAATTTCGTTTTCAACATGCACTTATGTGGTGATAATAAGTATTTTATCTGAATGACAACAATAAATTTTAGCACATTTTGTTCTCTATAAAAATTTCTGATTTCTCAATTAAATTAGCGACTCGCAAAATATTTTCCATCTCTTATATATGTGTATACCTAGGACATATATATATATATATATATATATATATATATATTTTTATATTAAATATATCTTTAAAAATAATTATATAATTTATTATAATGTGTGCTCCGATAACTAAGGTATAATTATGTATATGTGTATAAACATGCTCAAGTGTATAAATATATAGATTCATTTTTGTTATATATGTAGATATATCTATATATATAGATCTTTTATATTTTTGTTATATATATATATATGTAACACGATACAACGAATACTGTTAAGTGTATTTTAAGGCACTCGTGCGAATAAAATCTAAAACATTTGAAACGAATAAAGTAAAATAAAGATTTTTTAACTATAATAACAATTCATAAACTAACACATCTAACTATTATATTTGGTTAAATTGGTCCAGAACTAGAATAGATTGAATGAAACTTTTACTTTATGTTAAACTCCTTGTAAGATAAATTAGGAAATAGTGTGAAACAATTGTTGAATACAATCGATCAACCCTGTATTAATATAACATTTCATTATAGCCTCTTAACAAATAATATTATGTATTCTATAACCCCATCTAAAGCCAGGAACTAGTGCTTTAAGGAATTATTTCATCCCGTCTTTATACTTAAATCTATAGTGCAAAGTTTCTCAACTGTATGTTTTTTTTTTACTATCAATCAATAACTAGATATACTTTGAATAATTCAAATCAAGTGCGAAGTGTAAAGATAGAATAAAATTATGACTGTAAAACCTGTATTAATAGAGATTTTAGGATAGATACATATATATATATATATGCGTAGCATTGCTATCCAGTTCTTAAACACCATGCACATACAATACGCATATTTAGACTGTTTATGAAAAAAAAAAAGTGTAAATTGTGTGAGATTGGCTTCAACTTGCTCACTTTAAATTCTTCTAATATTAATATCACGGATTTTGCTTCAATAGATCCTCTGTGTTATGGCAATATATACATTTGTCAATGCCTAATATAACGCTAGATACAGATTTTCTCTACAATCTTCTCTAACGATCTTGCCATAGTTTTTGCATCAACTATAATATGAGAGCTATGGGACATTATTTATTTTGCATAATGCATGATATGATTTTAATAAATATTCTGCAATATTATAATAAACATTTCAATAAAGTGTATATATATATATATATATATATATATATGTGTGTGTATATATATATATATACACATACATATATAATCTTCCATATTTTTCATATATAATACGTAATATCTTTACATTTAAAATAACATTAATAAAATATTACAAATAAAATAACAAGATAAAATATTACACAAATAAAACTTTACGAGTAATTATACTTTTTAAAGAAATAACAAAGAGTGTAAAACGTTTAATTATTTCAAGTGCATTTAACAGTAACGCACACACTCACATAGACATACACACACACACACACACACATACACACACACACACACACACACACACAGAATGATAATATATTATTTTATACATTTATATATAAATCACGCAAACAGTTATATAAACTTTCTATTATGCAAGATAAATCACTTTTATATGTGTTGTTCCATAGCTCACAAATTTCTTCATATAATATCTCTATACAATATAGGAATGTTTCATTTTTTCTTGTACAACGTCTCTATCATTAGAAATATGATTATATCATAAAATGCAGATTTTCACATAATTTTAACCGTATACATTTCCTAATAGTAATGTTGCCAGTGTACATATCTTTTGCAAACTGGAATGATAAATATAAGTATATATATCCATGTGTGTATATATATATACCTTCATAATATAAATAAAAATTCGCAGTGAGCACATTCAGCGCGTTTGAATCACTCATAAAACTTTGTACAAATAAAAGACCGAAGTCTTCTGAAAAGTGTAAATAATCGAACGTGTATTATTTTAGCTTTGCTAAAATCTTTGGCTAAACGTCTAATTGCGAGCTAGAATTGTCTCTCCGGTAACTTTCTGTTACTGATGACCTATTCATCGATTTGACTTAGCTAAAAATCAGCAAACATTTCAAAGCGTTCCATCTAGCAGGTAAAATTTCGATGCTGACGCTATTAGTAGCAGCTATTAATCGTGTGTTAACAGTCTAGCTGCGATAGAAAATATTCGCATCATCTTTTATCATTGTGAATAATGTTTATAGAAGATTGCACTGTAAGCCATGTTAATATGATCACAGTAATTGTAGGTATATGTATATATGTATAACTTACTCCTGATTATTTATCAATGTCATTCTGCTTCCTAGGACTTTGTTGTGTACAATTGAAGTTGTTTGTGACATCCTGAAAAAAAATTTCATACATATTAATACATATAAATTATATATATATATATATATATATATATATATATATATATATATATATATATATACACATACACACATACACATACACACACACACATATTACATGCTAATGTTAACCGGGTTGATTATCTCACTGCTGTACATGTAAATTTTTGTACATTAATTTATAATATAACAAGATATATATGTAATGTAATACAAATATAAATATTGCAGATAAATGCAACGTACTTGTACTGCAATTTGCAACGGCGTTAATTCACCTACGGAGCAATCATTTCGCGCGACATTCGCCGGCAGTAATCTGGGGCAAGGTTTGCCCGTGAAGAGCATGAATAGTGCGTGAATGCTTCTACGTTGTGTCAATTCTATGTGACGATGTTGGTATCCAGCCAAATGCCGTCGATGCCGCGATGTTGTTGGGAACCATCTCTCGCACAAATTACAGTATCGTCTGTGCTTTATCGTTGCCTGTAAAAGAAACGAGACAAGAATAGAAAATACTCGCTAATGGAAGAAAAGCAGGTATATTGAAGATTTTCTCTTTACCTTCTCGTGATAAGCTAATTGAGTTATGAAATCAGCGACAGATATCTCGCTTTTTTTAACATCCTTCGTATCGTCCTCAATTTTATCACTCGACATTATGACTTTGTCATCCAATAATTTGGACTCTGAGATATCGAGATCTTCATTATCCTGGATCGTGATGACTGGAGGTGATCGGGAATTATCTCTATCGGAATTCGCATCAAAATTTACGGTGACTTCAGGTTCCAATATCGGCATGTTATCTTCCTTGGTAGGTTTAATTTTCTTCGTGTTACCATTCGTGTCACTTTCCTGATCCAAGGATTTCGATATTTTAGGAATCTTGAAAGACGCAAGTTTATTCTCCTCTCTCCGTTGTGAATCTTGCAATTGAACACTGTCACTTTGTTCCGTTAAGTTTTTCTTTCTTTTCTCGCTCAAGTATATAGTACGAATTAGACTCTCATTTGACATGGCTTCGCCGAGTCGTTTGGATGCTTTTAAGGATATCGTAGTGCATTCACGCATGTTTTCTATCGTTTCTTTGGTATCTGCCTTGTCATTTTTCTCGGGTGATTTCATTTTTCTCTTAATGAAGGAATTTTTATTTTGTTTGGAATGTTTTTTATCAGACTTTTCAGCATTAGGTATATTCTCAGTCTTGTTACTGGCCGCGGGTGTAGAGTCCTTCTGAGATATAATATCATTACAGCCTTGAGAAGAAGCATCACTCGAATGCGTTGTCTCTGAGAGACTATTGAGATCAAAACTCGAGCCCTGCTTCTTCTCCGCAGCTGTCTTTGGTCTTGCATTGTTCTGACTTTCACATTTGGATTTTGAAAGGCACTTCTTCAAGGTCTCCTTAGCAGCCAAAACTTCTTTTATCAAAGAATCATTGCAGCAGAAATTGTCCCTTGTCACGGTAGAAGCTACTGCTTTATCACACGATGATTTCGAAGAAATCTCCTTGATAAAGCCAACCAATTTATCCTCCAACACAGATTTATCATCGCTACTAATGTCAGTTTTCATGACGTGTTTATCTTTCGCGAGTAAACTCTTACTGTGAAATGAAGTCTCGAATTTATTGCAACGTGTTATCTTCAACGTTTTATCGCCACAAGATTCTTCGTTGGATGTACGACGTGAACAATAGCCACTGATAGGATCTAATTTTGGCATGAATACATCCAGCAGATCAGTGTTACTATTATCTGTGATCTCCAATTCCAACTCGAATTGAGTCGGAATTGCATCTGCCGAATATAACTGCTCGTTGTCACAATCTTCCATCATGTTGTTCTCCAACTCGCTAGTACCATTCGGCGAAGCTGGCAAAATCTCTATTGTAGATTGACTCTCATCCGAAGACTCGATTTTAATAACGGAGTTTTTATCCATCTCAAAATTGTCCAACATGCTCGCGGTATCGTCTTTAAGCGAACCAATATCATCCTGCAAAGTGCAATTATTGTCTATGTCATCGGAGCTACTCAATCGTTCCTTCTTTATCACGATTTTATTACAATCATCTTTATCCAAAAAAATATCATCATCATCATCTCGCTCCTTTTGTTCCTCGTTAGTTCGCAGATTGACTTCCTCGGAAAGTGATTCGTTTACATCAGATACTTTTACGAAACTTTCTATCTTAGATGTTGTTTTCAATTCCTCTAACGCGAGTTTAAAGTCTGTAGAGTCGTTTGATTGCTTGATGGAATTCTTCTTGTCTTTATTTGAGAATATCGTATCTTCGTTTGCTTTCACCACTTGCTCGCGATCGATGACAAAACTGTCAGACTTGTGTTCATCGCAATGTAAAGTAGCTTTTTCCGTGCTAGATTTCTCAAACAATCGATTGCCTTCCTTTTCGGACAAAGTAACGTCTATTTCTCTTCGTGAATTATTATCGCGAGATCTCGAACGTTTATTATCCTTTTGAAATTCGTCGGTTGATTTACTACCTCGATTTTTCTTTGGCGTGGTGCATGTCTTGGTCCTAGAATCCGTATCTTGCGTTGACGCGTAACTTAAAGTATCGTTGATTTTTCTGCAATCGTAATCCGACATTCTTCTCTGTTTACACTTGACCGGAAGCAAATCGGACGTCGAATTCGATCTGGATAATTTATGATCGTCTTTCTTTTCCCGATGATAGCCGTGTTTGCGATTTGAAAATATTTCATCTATAGTTCGCATTGATATAGGAGATAAAGATAATTTTAAATCCTTCACCATACTATCCAGGATCCGATATCTCTCTAGCTTGACTTCTGGTTGCCATTTTGCGCTCTTCGCGATAACGTTCTTGCAACCCTTACTTAGTTCGCACTTAAATTCTGCACTAGCGGATGTTCTCTTAATAATAACTTTGGGAATCTTTTCAGAGATGCGTATCAAGGGATTCTTTTTTGTTTCATGATCCGGAGCGATCGTTCGCATCGAGTCGGATGAATTACTACGTCTCGTAGAGTGTCCTATCTCGTCACGTCCCAATTTCTTATATTTTTTTAACGGTACTTCCGGGTGACATGAACTCTGTCTCTTCCGCGTCACTTCTGGAGACGGTGATCTGTTTCTCTCCTGCTTCCTCAATTTTAATATCGGTATCTTTTCCTCATATCTTCCTGAATCTTTCAATTCTTGAGAAATTGTATTATTACAGACCGAGTTATCCGACAGATCATTTTTTGAAGGATTTTTTATCTTTACCTTTGGTACGGTTTTCTTTACGCTTTTACGTTTAATGCAAACCTCCGTATCCTCGCTTCTCACTATCTTATTAGAATTCTTTTCATCCAATTTGATCTTCATTTTGGGAATCTTGTTTCTATAATTACTTGAATCTTGCAGAGAATCCTCGGAATCATTCATATATAATTCTTCGTTTGTAAATAGAATTCGATCCAAAGTATTTGCTTGAACAGGAGGAGTTTCTTCGTGAACAGCCTCGATGGACGGTGTACCTGGGCGAGATCTTGCATTTCTGATGATCATTTTGGGTATCTTCGGTTGACAGCCTGGCCTGAAAATCGATTTATTAATAATATTATTATCCATCTGTATAACGGAAGATGAACTCATTTTTGTGACAAACTTTGAGCTGGCTTCGCTCTTCTTGATGACGAGTTTAGGGACTATTTTTGTATTAGCGTTGCAATCTGTCGCACGCAAATACGTCATTTTCTCATAATCACTGGAAGAAACTTGATCCTGCTCCTTGTTCTCATCGTTGCTCGTCGGTGTTGTTTTGGACTCCTCGATTATCGGCGTCGATTCGATTGCTGACATATCGGATTCGTCATTCGGCTTGCTTGTAATCTCGTCGATCGCTTCCGAGACTCGAGACTCTTTGATGACCGATGTCCTCGAAAGAGACAGATTGTCTAACAATGAGTTAGTTTCCTGTAACGAACGAGCTGCGCCCATAAAATCCATCGATGATTCGCCGATATTGCATAAACGATTGACGGCGTCTTCCTGAATCTGGCTTGTCTCCCATTCCATCGGCACTATGCTATCTTCCTCGGTGAAATCATGTTCGGACATCTGGGTCAGAGGGCATCTGTCCTCCGCGTAAATTCCACAATCAGAAGAATCTATGCACAATAACTTAGAGTCAAGACTTATGTCGCAATCTCCGAGATTCTCTTTCGTTCCGGATTCTTGAGATTTTAATTGTTTCTCATCGCTGTTAATAATGCTTTTGATGACAGTAAATTCAGATATATTTTGTTTGTGTTTCTCATTCGCGAATAAATCACACACATTTTCTCCCGCAGATAAATCCAAAGCAACAGCTGGCGTAGATGTTATGGCGGTGTTACAATGATCTACCTCGTCATTTTCCTGATCCTTCGACAAAACTTCAGTTCTTTCTCTATCATTTTCCAACTTTTGCTGCTCGTTGCCTAGTTCGTTATGTAACTGCTCTATAGGTATGACGTCGGATGAATTTTGCACGATAATCGGTTCGTTTAATTTACATACTTTAGAATTTTCCGCGTCATCTTGTTTATTTGATTGATTAAAGTCGATTTCCGTCGAAATATTCGATTCTATTGCAGGCGCAACTTTTTCACTATCTTTGCGATCGATTAGAGCCGACGAATCTTGTTGATATAGAATTTCTTGACTTACAACAGACTCCAAATTATCCTTCAACGAATCATTGATCTCATCTTGTTTATTTAAAGTAGGCGCAAAATCTTTTACAGTATCTGTACACTTTGATTCATCGAGTATATTTTTAGATTCTGCATTCAATTTGAATGGACTTGCGACTTCAATGCAATTTTCACTTGAAACTTGTTTCTCATTTGCATTCTCGTTGGATTTATCTTCCTTTGGAGAAGCAGGTGTACAATAAACTTGAATATCATCTTCTTTTAATTGAGATTTTGTTAATGTTTCCATATTTTTTACATTATTCATAGAACACTGATTTTTTTCTGGCTCTTTGTGAATTTTTTCATCTATTACTTTAGGAGAAGATTGTTCAATGAGCAAATCACTGGATTTAATTTCATCGGATTGACATTCTTGCTTCTTTGCGTATTCATCATTTCTTTGCATATTCAACGATATATTAAATATATTTGCTGATTCATTATTTATGCCTCTTGCTAACGTATCGTTCTGATTATTACACTCATTTTCTTCTTTATTATGAGGAGCAATATCTAATTGTTCGCACTGTGAATCGTTGTTCCGGATTGAATCTAAATCTTCAGTAAAGTCGCATGTAAGGCGATGCATTATTGTCTCGTTTGTCGTGGTAGAAACTGCCTTGCGATTACTGTTGTCGGAGGAATCTTGATCTGTCGACAAAAATAGGAAAGAATCCAGCCGTTTCTGTGCGGCAAATATTTCACTGAAATTTAATTCCTTAGCACTATCACTGTTTCTCCTGTCGACATGGGACGAATACGATTTAATCGATTCCATTGTCTCTTCCCAACAAGGCGGTTTTGGTGGTAGAAATAAATTCGAATCAAGTACAGAGCTCTCGCTATGTCCTTTCTCGTACGCGAGATTATCCGTTGACGCTTTCGTCTTACAATATTTAGTGCTAGATGCGGCTTCATTGTCCAGATTATATTGTTTTTCGAGAAAGCTCAAGTCCAAGATATTCTTCCTATTATTTTCTTTGCTCTCTTGTTGACTGCTCCTGTTTGTGTACAATTTGTCCGCATCATCATTGAAGAATTCCAGATGTGATATATTTCGGGATGTTTTTGCGCAAGGATTGCTTTTGTAAGCATTTTTATTTGATAAATGATCAATGTGTCTTGCAGATGAAATCTCTCCTTCTCTCGCTTTTCTACTGGAAGCGACGTCGCGATTTCTTTTGAATATCTTTCGCATCTTGGAACAGTTATAATAATCGTACATTGGAGATCTCGCCAAATACGATTCGCGCGTATTATCGTAACTCTCGTTCGCGCGAGCTTCCATGATTAATTCGCGATACGTGAATCGGGGATTAGGACTGTAAGTGATCTTGCCATCTTTGGTGGTATATACAGGAACTATATTTAAGTTTTCCAATTCGTCCGCGTTAGAGAAAGTCGGATTTACGTAACCGCTGGCGTTTTTGTATAGATCAAAATTGTTGAATCTACCGTCGTCCTTCTTTGACCTTTTCCATTTATCGATACGTTTTGCATTCGCATCTGCATTTTCGTTGGGAGCAACGTCAAAGTGGTTATAATCGAAATGTAGAGAATTATTGTAACTGGCGTTTTCCAGACTTGAATCCATCGTATTCGAAGAAGTCGATGGAATCGCATTTAATCTAGATGTAATATCATCTTGGAAGTTTTTTGTATTCCTGCATAAAGAAGCAGCGGTATTTTCCTGATGCTCCTTCTGAACGCTGACATTCCTCGATGTTGATCCCACGCATGGCGAATGATCCGAAGAGGTTTTCAATTCCTCGATATAGGAATTGATAGCAATAACCTTCCTGTCTGACTCTTCGTGCAAGCTTCTTCTTCTAATCACCGTCTGCTCTGATTTTGATTCAGTTTCGATATTGATATTACCTGAAAGAAAGATATATTATAAGATTATTATTTCACAAAAAAAAAGTAATTTTCTTACCATTCTCAAAAATGTAAAATACCTTTATTTTCATATAAATCATCGATTAATTCTCCTTCCACTAACGAGCTTCGTCTTTTCTTAAGCGAGCCGGATATTTCGTCGTTAGTTGAGTCTTCTTTGTATGTGGTGCTAACCGCATCGTGTTTGACCACTTCCGTGTTGATTGGATCCTCACAAATTTCAGTATACGTAGATGTTTCCGTTAAAGCAGCTGGAGATCGATTGCGTCTCTCATAATCGTGACAATCCGCCGCTTTATCGCAAACTGTTTTCTTGTCACATTGAATTTCCGTTATATTTGTCGAATTAGATCTAACTCCGTTCGAGATCGAATTAGTCAAGTGACCGATCGTTTCAGCGACAGCATTCTTGATATTCTCGTGTAACAACTTCTCCGTTGTATTTCGTTCCGTACACGACACATTTATTTCAATTTTAATCGCGTCAAGGGGACCGCTACTCTTCGTCTCTTCTTCTAAATGCTGCGATTCTTTTTGATCACTATCCTTGCGTTTTAAATTGACATTTGTAACTTGAATGGCAAAATCGGGATTTATATTCTTAGTTACGAATGTCTTCAAAATACTTGCATGCTTCTTCTCTTGGGCTTTCTCCTCGGATGACTTCAGTCTTGCTATGTCCTTTTGATATAGCTCCCTATTGCTTGATTGCAACATTTCTTCAGAATTCAACGAAGAATTAAGTTTCTTGTTCGCTTCAGAATCTTCTTGTGTACCTTCATTTTTATTCTGCAGTCCCACAGTAGGCGTTTTATACTTCATTTTTCTGTATTCCTTCAGAAGACGCATTCTTTCTCCACTATCGTCGATATTAACGTTGTCAATTATTCTTGGTTTATTACGTGAAATATCGGGTTCTTTAAAGCTCTCGACAGGACAGGATTTGTCCTTGAGCGTCGCCGCTTCTTGAGTATGTTTATTGTGATGTATAATTGTTTCGCTACATAATTTATCCGTATTTTCGGACGAAAATGTTTTTTTGCGAGAAGTTGTTTGATTGTCTGAAATTGATTTTTTATGATCCATAAGTGTTGATCCGTGTCGAGAATTTTTCGAGTCTTTTGCATCGATTTTTGCTGCTTTATTACCGTTGACATTTCTCTCCAAAAAGGAATCTTCCTTCGCAAATTTATCGCCCGTCTCGCATTTTTTCGACTTGTCGCTGCTTAAACTCGAATGTTTTGTACTCTGTGACATAGAGTTATTTTTTACAGTTTTCGTCGAACAATCATCTTCTACCGCTGGTCTGGAATTCTTCGATGCGATATCGTTTGTCGGTAATAAACTTATCGTACCTGTTATTGTTTGACAAGTCAACATACATTTCTTTTCGGAATAATTAACATCTTGACCATCAAGTTCAACGGGGTCCGGATCATTCGTAATATTTTGCAATGCAATATTGTTCAATTCCATTGAATTAGCATATCGAAGTGTAGTTTTCACGTTCGGTTCCGGAAGTATTTGTAATTGTTTATGAGCACCCGCCGAGGAGGTAACTTGAGATTCGTTCGCACGATGCTCGGTGATCGTTGAATTTTGATAATCCCGCGTCGGCTTAGTCTGCTGCGTTCCTGTTGACACGATCTTTAATTCATACTCACCCGCAGAGGTCAAAGTCATTCGCATACTGGCGGTCTCCGCGTTTTCCGTTTCATCATGCGGTGAGGACGCTTTCTCATTGTTATTTTTCGAATTTTCATTTATACTCGCACGCTCCTTTTCGTTTTTCGTTGAGTCGTTCTTATCAATATTGGAAAATTCAAATGTACCAAGAACGGTATCGTGATTTAGCATGTTATTGCTCGCGTCGTTTTTGAAATGATTTTCGGCTCGATATTCACCTTCTGAAGAATCGATTGGTTTATTCCGCTCGTCGCTCAAATGATCATAAGGTTCCCTATTCGTCGGCGATTGCGTGAAACTGAGCATGGGACTGTTCTGTATAACTTCTATCGGATTCGTTGGTATCGTGAGATTATCGGCATGAGATTCCGACGATTCCTCGTTGTCGGAATGAATGGGCGTATTCAGTGTCGTAGAGATCGGAGTGCACTCGGATGTAGGCAGATCCGGCAGACTTATGTCATCCGGGTTATGAGATTCTTCGCTCGCAAAACTGTTCTGCTTCTTCAGATTCAGGTTTTGAACGTCCAAGTTGTTGTCTTTTATAGATATAGGCAAGATTTCCGAGTCGTTTACCCGTGTCTGCGATGTATCCTCCACCGTTTTAGGAGGAGAGGAGCCTTCGACGATGTCTTTGCTCAGCGTTTCAAGCGTTTCAGCATTATATTCAGTTGAAGCGGACTCGTTGTCGGTCTTCTTGTCAATCGCGAGAGTTATCGCGCTCGCTGTGACTTCTGTTCCTTCCTGAAAGAATGACACCGCTTCCTGCCGCTCCAGAGTCTCGGCAACCGTTTGACCGTTAGCAACCTGCAAAATACTACCTATCTCCAGATTATCGACTATATGAATTGTTGGTACTTCATCAGGCCCGTTCCTTATACATTGTATGATATGACTTCCCGGTCGTACGATATTTTCTTTCGATATGATTTCCTTGCACGTTGAATCTTTGGCCATCTCGAGGTTCTGCGCAGCCGAGTACGATATCGTCAGACAATCCTGGGCGGGCACTACATCGATGTTACTGTTCTTATTTTGATTCTCGAATGTTATCACGTTCGAAGCGATCTCTTCCGATTTGGAACCGTTTAAATCTTCCAACGTCTTCGCCGACAGATTCACATTCTCGTAACCCACAATCACTACTGGCGTTGATTCGCTCAAAATAGCGCTTGGCAAGTTGTTGCTCGCGCCATCCTCATCTTCCGACTCGTCCCAATTAGCCAGGAACTGTCGTACGTCCAATTCCGGCTTGTCGGCGAATTCTTTGGACATTTTCTGTCGTATAGTCGTATTGCCCGCGTTTGTACCCAAGTTATTAAAGTTTTCGCTTCCCGTTTTCTGTATTTCAAACTGGCTGTGATCGAGACTCTTTTGCGCAGGATATCCATCTTGTTTCTGAACGTTTTCCGAACACAGAACAGTCGCCGCAAGTCCGTCACCGTTATTATGCTGCTGTGAGATCAATCGCTCCGGTTTTTGAACGTTGTGATTCGCCATTTCTGGAACACTGTCCTGCTTGCCTGCTTGCTTATTCGCCGAATTGTCCAGTGGTGCTTGAGGATTTACCGGCGGCACTTGTTGTATTCTAGAAAAAGCTTCGGGCATGTAATTGGAATTGATTAAAACGCCGTTTTGATCGAATTGTAAATTTATAGGTGGGATAGTGGAAGTATTAGTGACGGTCGACGCAGTGGCGCATGGCGGAGTTTGTTGAATAGGCCCTTGATATGTGACGTTTTGCTGACACTTCAGTATTTCTCTGTACTTCTGCATGCATTCTTTATACTTGGGATGTGATTGGTATCCAGGTATTCTCGAAAACTCCTTGAGATGATTTTCCATCGAGAATCTTTGCATCGCTACCTTCTGCTGATATATCTGATATCGATGATGGGGAACGGCATGCATAGTCGACGCCTGCATTCTATTTATCATGGATACGTCGGTGGCAGTCTCTTGACAGTCGTGTGTATTCTCGGTCGGTATATTCCTCGGGTATTGCGAATTGAAGTAGGTATTCTGCGCGGGTGGAATCATGTTCGGATTCGGCACATTCGTGGCGGACGGTATGTTGCTCGGCATCATAGCGCCGCCATTGTTTTGATACGGCACCTGCTTACTGTTGTACTTTTGCTGAGGTATCACGAAACCTTGCTCTTGATGTTTAACCATCCCCTGATTCGGTACATTCATACCGCTCATCTTGGGATATTCTTTAACATTGTAGGGATATTTTTGATACTCTCCCGTGTAATTGTAGTTTTGCATAGGATAATTCTGTAACATAGCCGAGGAAGGCGGGTAGTTTCGCGAAAGCAAACGATCCTTGCGATACTTGAAGTCGGAAAAATTCCTCCGATGATCCGCATTAGGTCCGTTAGACGGTGGTACGACGGACGATAGAACCTCCTTTCCGTCGAAATTATCCTTTCTAAAGTTGAAATCGTTGTTGAATCGTCGAGCATCCGCTTGATATCCGGCGGACGAACGAATGTTCTCTCTATAAGTCGCGTTGTTCTGGTAGCAGTACTTTTCCCACTGCTGGTAACCTATATTAGGATCTGGATTGCAACACAATCCCTTGCAAGGAACATAGGATGGTGGCGGAGGACCTGGTGGGCCTGCCGTTCTGTTAGCGGCATGTGAATTCACATTAGTGTTTCGTGGTCCTATAGATCCATGCGGTGGTGCATTCATATTCATTACGTTTGGTCCATTCATATGCGAGATAGGCCCATTTAAAGGCACCTGATTGTTTCTATAGCCTAGTTCCTCATTCAAACCGCCTATCGAGGCATTTCTTGGGTCCATAGGATTATCCACCATGGGATTTCTTGTATTCGAAGGTCCATAGTGACTAATGCAATTTTGCATTTGTACCATCGACGCCAGAGGGGTATTGTCAGCAGCAGCATTGTGGCCATGCGAAATGTTACTTGCCAGATGTGGCTGGAAATGCCTTGGATTGAAATTAGGATCGCTTTGATGTTTCTCGAATCCCTCAGAACTGAGATTCAAACTACTCAACTGTGTCGGACAGGTTGGACTAATACTAGAAATAAACGATAAGTGTCCCGAATTGACATTTTGAGCAGTAGATGTTACGTCGTTTATTCCTGATTGCGAGGGATTATATTGATGCCAATCTGGCATATTTCCACTGTAGTTCATTGTACATTGTTTTGCTATTATTTTCTTGTTGATTACATTGTTCTCCTTATTTGCAGGAAAATGTGTCCAACTAATAAGAGCAGGAGGCTACCTGAAGAGAACAAATAAAATATGTTATAAATTTGCTATAATATTTATACAGAATCTAGTGTATATATATATATATATATATATATATATATATATAATAATTATACCATTTTTATGAAATTACATAAAAATACATATATGTATATCTTAATCATATCATTAAATAGAATTATTTTTAAAGATAATGTTTATTTATATCTTTCCTTATTATACATATATTTTGCAAATATGTTATGAATTTGCTATAATATTTATACAGAATCTAGAATATATATTATATATATATATATATATATATATATATATATATATATATATAAAATACATACCATTTTTATGAAATTATATAAAAATGCATATATGTACATCTTAATCATATCATTGAATAGAATTATTTTTAAAGATAATATGTTTTATTTATATCTTTCCTTATTATGCATATATTTTGCAAGTGTGCATATAGCGTGCATTATCTCTATAATTATTCTCGTTTTATAAGCGATTAAAGCAGCAAGAATTAAAATAATAATTTAACTTCGGAATATCACGCAGACTTTCATCCGCTTAATCAAACTCAAAATGTTATATACGCGACGCATTATAATGTAACGCAAGTATGACCTAGATATTACTTTGACATCTTTGGCACACGGGACCATGCTTATCAGTATGGCCGAATGTATCTTCATTATGCAAATAATTTCGCAACATTCTACACGTTATCTAGCTACGCGATACGAAACACATCGTGCGTCGACGCCGAGGAAACGTCGTATCTGTCATCGATTCCAAGATCGGAGTCGGGAACCCGACTCGAGACGGTACCGAGACGAACTGACACACAGGTGACACCATATTTACCCCAGTGTTGCAGCCATTGTTACAATTAGTCTAGATCGCGCGATGTCCTTCGTCGTACGCGTGTTTACCGTGATAAACGGCCGAACATTATTGCTGTCATTCGTCGTATATCGCGCGCGGAACAATAAACGTGCGTAATTTATACGCACGTACTTGGCACAAGTGGAAACGCACCTTGCTGGACGGACCTTGAAAGTTGACGATTGACACCACGATTGATATCGCCCGCGCTATTCGATCGTTAAGCCCTCGTGAGCGTTTGCGACGATCTCGTCGCGCTCACTTTACCCTCATCGTCGAGACCATCGTCGCGCACAAGGTGCACGCGAGACAATACGCGCATTCTCTTCGACTTACCTGCACACATTAACATCGCTCACGACACGCACGCCATATTGGACACGACTGCTCGCGGAGGAAAAAAAAACATCACGCGCCCTCTGCGTCAAGAGGTGCTTCGTGCGCGCGACGCGATATGCCCCCTGCGTATGTGTGCGTGAGTGTCGCGTACTCGTACCTGGTTTGCACCTGGGCGCATATGTGTGTGAACGCCTACATCGAATGCTCGTGAAAAATGCTATGCTAATCGCCTTACGCTTCGCTTAATATAGCTGCACCGCCACGAGTGCCGTTGGCTTGTTACGACGAGGAACGCGTGAAAAAAACACCCGTTATGCTCTTAACGCTATATGTCAATAAAATAAATCGCGGAAGCGTACGCTAAAATATCATATAATCATTGTGTTTTGATAGCGAAATTAATTTTGTCCTGGAATATGCGACAAAGATCTTTGATGATTTGCTTTTTTATTATCTCACACATTCATCAGATTATATCGAATAGCAAGATTTTTTTATTTATGTACAAAACCACTTATACTTTGAGATTGTTGAATACGCATAAAATATTCGATCGTTCTTGTTCTGTTATATGCGAGTGTATAAAACTTTTGAATTTTACACAACAGGTTTTAATTCGCTTATTATAGGGATGTACATAGAGAAATATATATATGCAATTTACAATTAAATTAAGTTTATACAATGTACTTCTCATTTTTCTTTTAACACACACACACACATACACACACATACATTATTATTCATTTTTATTTTACTTTGAACACAAAAATGATTATTACTAAGAATGAATTATTAATACTAAGAATGAATGAAATAAAATATATAAGCATATATAATGATCAAGTCTATTGTTTTTCCAAAGAAAGTATATATGCAAATCTAAATTACTACATTATGAAATAAATATAATATTGAATTTGATTTGTCATTTTTTGATTTGCTCAAAAAAATTAATTCTCTTTTATAGAAATTATGGTTTTATATAAATAATTACAGACAACAATTATAGACAACTAAATATTATATAAGATAAAGATATACATTAATATATGTAAAGATATACAAGGAAAGTATGTGCTATTCTCAAATGCAAAAAGTAGATCATATTTAAGAAAAGCAATTAATTACCAGTTATATAAACGACAATTAATATTGTCTTTTGTGTTCTTTCAAATATTTCAAGGATTCAAATTTAATTTGACAGCCTCTTGTCGTATCACAGAAATAAGTTCCTGATTTATTAAAAATGTGAATCTTAGTCCTGCAATCTGTGAAAAAAACATATATAGAAAATGCAATTAAAAGTTGAATACATTTCTTGGAAGAATATTTTTTTGAAAGAAATCTATCCAAATTAATTCAATATGTTGAGAAAATCATAATAATTACCTCAATTACACTATTGTTATTTAATTTCATTTTATTGCCAGCCAGAATTGGTCTGCTATCTACAAAAATCGGTCGTTTTCCTTCAGATGACAGAAAGAAGTCCCCATTATTTCTCAAACGAATGGTACCTTGTCGACGTGAAACTTTCCAAGCCGGACCTTCTAAACTAAGATCCACATCAACAGTGTGATCCTTTGTAGAACGTCCTACACTTATCTGGAAAAAGATATAAAAATTTTTCAAAAATAAGACAAGTTATATTTTACATAAATATAATATAAATAAAAAAAATAATTATTTATTTCTTACCTCCCTTGATCTCATGAGATATCTGACCAGTCTTCCTCTTAGAATGGCTAAAGTTTGATTATCAAATTCTGGGGGATTGGCACCTGTTACACTATCAACAAGCACCTGCCATCTGCCAAGTTCATTTTCCAATACTTTAATTTCCCTTTTATTCTTTCTATCTGTTGTTGTCAATTCAGCATCTATCAATTCATCTTTCGGTTCCATCAATTCGGTATCATTAATCATATCTTCAGCATCTGAAAAGTTCAATACATGTTCACCTCGTGGTAAACTTTGCACTGTCTGGTCTGGTAATAGGTGATATTGCTTCATTAGCTGCCAATGGCTATGTAATGCTTTTGCAGTTCTAGCTGGATAAAATGTATGTGCATTTGCTTCAAGTAATTCTTGAAATACTTCTGGTGTTGGTTGAGAAGTCTAAAACAAAATAAAAGATTATATTTTTAAAATAATGCAATTAAGATATAGCAATAGTAAAAATTAAATCAGTTAATTTAATCGCTCGTTTATTTTTCTCAAACATATTTGTTTTACTTAAGATATTTCTATAATACTCACTGATTTAATGGTACCCAATAGATCTTCCTCAGTCTTGCTATACAAAGTTCTCGCTTGCACGCTGGCTATCAATTCAGGATGTAAATTACGCATAGCTTGCACAGCTACGCGTGACACTGCACTGTCATACAATAGTGCATACCATCTTTGTTGTATCTCTTGCAATGTAAAGCGGCAAGAAAACTTTGTACCTCGATGAACCTTGAACAGTTATGCAACAGAATTTTAAAAATATTATATACATTATTTTTATTAATATCATAAAAAAAGGTAAAGTAAAAGAATGTAAAAACTAATTAAATACCATTCTCAAATCATTTGTTTGTTGTACACCAGTAATCAATGCTAAATCATCAGCAGGTTTCCATCGTCCGAGATCTTTAGTAGCATTGATAGAATGAGAGTGATTCTTATTCTTTTTGTTTTTTCGTCCAGGATTTGATCCGCTTGGTCTAGTGGGTCTACGATTACATCTATCTGATTGTGCCAAGGTGGTTGGAATTGGTATTGGAGTAGGTAATGTTTGCGTTGGTAGAACATCTATAGGACCGGCAGATACAGAAACTGTTCGCGATTTTGATGTTGATTTAGCACTTGTAGCAGGTGGTTGTAGATTGAACGTTGTTTCCACCACCTCATCATCAAACTTCTTGCGTTTTATCGTACGCGAAGAGCTTTAAACAAAAAGAAAATAAATAATACAATTTAGTTTAGAGGTTGTCTTGTGTCAATATATATAATGCATGTTTGAAAAAAAATTAATTCATATATAATGTAATTGATATTTACCTTCTCCGTTTGGTTGCTAAAGCATCTAGGGCTGACGATTCGATGGGAATACTTAAAAATCCATCTGTATTGTGTGCAAGTCCACTGTGATTGAGGTTAGTTGGAGTCGATATATCCATTGTTACGTAAATCCAGAGAGAAGAATGAAAAACGCCATGGTCCGCTTTTAGGTTAGGTGATCTCTGAAAGCGATGCGACCTCTATGGACATAAAAATGTGGACAGGAACTACAATGCCAATATCTACGAATATTTTCAGTGGATAACACAGATGTTTAATTTGAATCGTATGTTACCCACTGCCAATACTCGTGGACATTGCCTATTTCGATATATCGATTTTTATGCGAACAGAAATTATTTCTTTAACATTTATAGATATATTATATTATATTATATTATATGTTATATTTTATATATTATGTATTATATTTCATGTATTATATTATGTATTATATTTATTATGTATTATATTTTACGTATTTTAATACAGCAAACAATTTTTCAATATTGATCGCGATCTCGTTTAGAAAAGGAATTTAAAAGAGCGTCTCGCGCCATTAATTTACTCTTTACTCTCGTCGTCGCACGAATAATAATAGAACTGAAAAAATTAGTCTGACAATATAGAAATTATTTCTTTAATATTTATAGATATTTATAGAATCGAATATAATATGTCTGCGACGCTTTATCCTTCTATTTTTCAATCCTTTAAATATAAATTCGGATTGAAAATGCGCAGTAAAATAATTGAATCGTGGATTTAAAATTAATAATTAATTAAATAAATTATATATAAAAAACTTCATCGATGAAATAATGTGGTTGAATACAATTGAAATATAAGAAAAATAATATAATACTTGTAATGAATAACGTTAATGTGGAATACATAAATATTTTATATTTTAATTTCATGTAATCGAGATGAAATAAGACACTCATGATAACTTTAAAAATGTGTCCACAAATATCATATAACTTCAATAGCTGCACATTCGTCAAATTAATCCTATTACGTTAAATAAATCACAGCAGCTTGTTTTAATTTAATCTAATCTAACCAATTATATATCCTCCTCATTAAAATGTGTAAAACTGTACGTCAAACATTTAATACGATTAATATACTACGTAATAAAATGTAATACACTAATGAAATAATTAAATATTATTTTTGAAAGCATGATAAAATCCAGGCAGCATACGCTTGTATTTACATTCGACATCCAAAGACACTGAGAGGTTAGGTTAGGTTAGATTTTATCGAAAAATTTATCGTTTCACAGTTGGGAGCCCTACGAGATGGGTTGTGCAGCACTTCGCGCGTGTATACAAAATAAATTTGAAATTGCTTCTAGCCTAACCATCTTCACGCGAATGACTTTATTTGAATTGCATCGCGTCGCATCGAATTATGACGCGGCGCCGATTTGCCCGAACGTAATTCGGGACATCGCGATGCTGTATAAGCGTCGAATGAGCACGAATTGTCACGCAAATATGATAAATCAAATCTACTCACCGTTCACCGGCTGTTCCACAGGCCGCTCCACTCGCTCGCCTCGGGACGTCCCATTCCGATCTTGATGCACACAAACTCACACGATATTATCAACGCGAACGCGCGACACTTTATTCGGCACTCCCGATACTCGCACGCATCCGATAATCATCATCAAGGGCGCGAATAACGCAACGCAACTTCGCTCCATCTTCGCGATGACGCCATCACTGAATGTCGTCAAAAATCGCTGTCGCGCGTTTCCATCGACACATTATGAAAGTCGCGCGATCATCCTTGGACACTCTCGACACTCGTTCACTCGCGATATTCGTTTAAAAATGGTTAAAAGATGCGAAAAATGCGGATGTACGACGATCCGTGTAACTGCGTGTGACTCCGATTCACGTATGACGCGTATGACGTGCAGTGACGTAGCAGCACGCGCCAACATGGCGGCCGAACCATTGCGCATTCGTTTCTGCACAG